CAGCTGCTGTTAAATGTCTTATTTTTGGTAGATTTAATCGGGTTTTAATCGAATTCCATAAATTAAATAAACTCAAATCTTTGGGGGTAAAATTAAACCAGATGGTTACCAAGGTGATGAGACACTCTTTTTCATGATTATTTATGGAGTAGCACCAAACACTCGGCAAACAGCCTAGTCGGCCTTTGCTCGCTGTTTTTCGTTTATGTTTTATTGAATTTTAAACAGTAATAAATAAATTATAAGAAGGTAAATACAAATTATTGTTTAATGTAGGTACCCTATGCGCATGACGGGTAAAACTTAACCAAGTCTAAAGGTTGGACAACCGATAGTGCACTCTGGGCATATACTTGCTGTTTTCGAACAGCTAACATTTGCATATATCTAGGTTAGGGTGGTCCTTAATAAGGTTATTTTCAAATTTCTTTGCTCCCAGGGGCTCAAATACTTCCAAATTGATAAAAAAAAATTCCCTGAAAATTTGAGCTCTTAATATTAACTCTAAGATAGTGCGCATTCCAATCTAAGTTTCCTATGGAAATAACAGGAAAAATTACTTTTGTTGTTTATAATTTTATAACTTGGGAACGAATAAATTAAAAATTATAAATCATACATATTTTTATAGAGAATTTAACGCTCTACAAAAAAGATTTCCTATAATTTTTCCATTAGTCTATTGGTTTAAAAGTTATTCAACGCCAAAGTTTAATTTTCATATTATTATTAATATTATCAAGGCTTTTTTATGAGGCGCAGTTTGTGTCAAAATTAAAAGTGCTAAATAAACTTATTTTGTTTTATAAATAATTAATTATATGCTTTACCAAATAATTTTTTTTATAAAATTATTTTTTTATAAAATAATTTTTTTAAGAATTTTTTTTTTCTAAAAAATTTTATAAAATAATTTTTTTATAAAATTATTTTTTTATAAAATAATTTTTTTTTAATTACTTTTTTATAAAATAATTCTTTTTTATAAAATTATTTTTTTTTATTTTTATTTTTGTTTTAAGAGAATTGATTTATTTATTTTAATTTGTTTTCAAGAAAATTATTTTATTTATTTATTTTAGTTTTTAACAAGTGCTTTCTTATAAAAAACGTTTAAACATATAGAATTCTTGTTAAAAACTAAAAATCAAAATAAGTGTAGATCACAGACCTACAAACAAAATGGACTGGCCTTTCCTATTCAAAATACACAATGTTTTGTTGCCAAGAACTATTTAGATTAGGGGTAAAGGGGTAAGGGGTATTTATAAACAAGTTCCCACACCAGTGGCGTTCTGTTTTTAGGGATAAATAAAAATATTAAATTGTACATTTTTTATTGTGTTTTGCAATCCTATGTAAAAATTATATTTAATATATATAAATATATAGGTATAACAAAATACTAACCTTGTCAGTTAGTGTTCCAGATGATGTAGAATCTGGCTCTTTAAATCTAAAATTTAAGTGAATTAATTTATTTATTCAGTTTCTACGCTCCTGGCAGGGTTTGTTTTGTAAATAAACTAACCTATGAAAAGAAAGTTTTAAATTCTTGGATCCAAGTCTTTTACGAACGTAGCACTGCTTCACCATTTTTATATCACTCACTATTGGTATTTTTCACTATAAAATCAAATAAAAAATATTAAATGTTGTGGATTCCAAGTATCTTTTACGTAAAATATAGAAACTTCAAAGTCAAATGTGACAACTGAGGGAAAATATTTATTTTTGTGCACTCTTTTCAATGTAAATAAACCGGTCCATCTTGTTTGTAGGTCTGTGGTGTAGATACAAAAATTAATGAATTCATTAATAAAAATAATAAATTATTATTTTCAATCGTTTCCCCAAATTGCGTCAAACAAAAGCCCAGTCCGTCATAAAATTGTATCTGGGGAGGGGCGTTCGGGTTTACTCGGGTTTTCTCGAGTGTCTACAAACAAATAGAGATGGCTGCAGTAAAAAATAATTTAGAAATGCGCCCGTCGTCTTTTATTTAATTATTATTAAAATTATAATTTTTGATTCGAATTGAAACTTATTTTATAAAAAAAAATAATTTTATAAAATTTTTTACAAAAAAAAATATATAAAAAAATTATTTTATAAAATTTTTTACAAAAAAAAAATTTATAAAAAAATTTTATAAAAAATTATTTGGTAAAGCATACAATTAATTATTTATAAAATAAAATAAGTTTATTTAGCACTTTTAATTTTGACACAAACGGCGCTTCATAAAAAAGCCTTGATAATATTAATAATAATATGAAAATTAAACTTTGATGTTGAATAACTTTTAAACAAATAGACTAATGGAAAAATTATAGGAGACCTTTTTTGTAGAGCATAAAAATATGTATGATTTATAATTTTTAATTTATTCGTTCCCAAGTTATAAAATTATAAACAACAAAAGTAATTTTTCCTGTTATTTCCATAGAAAACTTAGATTGGAATGCGCACTATCTTAGAGTTAATATTAAGAGCTCAAATTTTCAGGGAATTTTTTTTAATTAATTTGGAAGCATTTGAGCCCCTGGGAGCAAAGAAATTTGAAAATAACTTTATTAAGGACCACCCTAATCTAGGTATATACCAGAGAATTCGAACGCACAATGTAAACTTGGAGTGTATCCAGAGTGCACTCTTGCGAGTTTTCGAACGCGCTCCAGACGTTAAAACGCATCGACAATTAGCGCCGCTGGTGGTGAACAAAAAATACTTAATTTGTTCGATTTAGAGGGCAGGTTTTCTCAATTTCCCCTATTAAGTTCGGGCATTTGTGTAGGCTCCATGGTCCAGGCGGTCGTGGCTGGCAATCGGCCAACTATAAACAGCTGACACCCGGCCGAGCTAACATATCTGACATTCAGCCAGGCGGACGACAAGCTAGGCCGGTCTACTTACCGAATCTTATTCGTGTTCCGGGCCGGACCAGGCCAATTCGGCCAAACGTATTCGGGCCGTATGCTGTCCGGCTAACTTGAACTTACTGGGTAGGTGGCAAAATGTTAACCGGAGTAACATAATGGGGGCCATAAGCGGGCCGACTGGGGGTAAGCCAAACCGCCGGTCAACCGCCCATGCTAAGCGGTTGCCGACTGTTTGCCGAGTGTTTGTTGCTTACTGGGTTAGGACCTAAAAATTGTCAACGACGACAGAAACTTCACTTGATAAGTTCCTGTTCGAACACAGTTTTAAATTACATAAAAAGCATAATGTATACAGTGTGTCCGTAAAGTCCCGGAACATGAGATTATTTTAAAAACAGTATATTTTTCAAAAAAACGCTGAAACACGTCAACTTTCTTATTTTTCTAGCATTATTTTGGCATATGAAGTTGTTCCAAATTCTACCGCGTGGCGGCGCCACAATCAAAGTCAGTTTTTTTTTAAATTGCAACCCTTTATTTTTGTTGCATTTTTGGATAGCTACCGTTGTCCTGAGTACATTGATATGCCACATCTGGAGGGTTACATAAGAAAATTTTTGAGAAAAGCAGGTTTTTGCCGCCGAATGAGATTTTGGTATTTTGTCAAACTTAAACACAATCTATGCGTTGCTTAATGTTTTTTTGGAAAGCCAATCAGAGCAGTTGCTCAAAGTGTCCACCGTAAACTATTTTGCAGTGGGCCAGCCTGTCTACAAACGAGCGTTGTACGTTTGCCAGTACCGCTGGAGTGATCATCTGGATCTCGGCTTGAATGCGGTGTCTTAGGTCGTCCAAATTTTAAGGCCTGTTTACATAGACGCGGTTTTTAAGATGTCCCCATAAAAAGAAGTCTAAAGGGTTCAAATCGGGCGATAGCGCTGGCCACTCAATTTGACCCCTTCGACCTATCCAGCGATTGGGAAAGACCTAAATTAAATAATCCCTTACTATATGCTATAGCAATGCATAGTGTGGTGGTGCCCCGTAACAGCGAATAAGTTCGTCAAAACCAAAATCTCAATCAGCGGCAAAAACCTACTTTTCTCAAAAATTTTCTTATGTAACCCTCCACATGTAGCATATCAATGTACTCAGGACAACGGTGGCTATACAAAAATGCAACAAAAATAAAGGGTTGTAATTAAAAAAAACTTTACTTCGATTGGGGCGCCGCCACGCGGCAGAATTTGGAACAACTACATAGGCTAAAATATTGCTAGAAAAATATAAAAGTTAACGTGTTTCAGCGTTTTTTTAAAAAAATTACCGTTTACAAAATAATCACATGTTCCAGGACTTTACGGACACACTGTATATATATATCAGTATGACTAGTTAGACCTTCATAAATATAACAGTAAAAATAGATTTTTTTGTGAAACATTTCAATCCAGCCTGGACAGTGTTGGAAATTAAATTATTCTTGCAAGCATCGGTGGTTCAGTGGTAGAATGCTCGCCTACCACGCGGGCGGCCCGGGTTCGATTCCCGGCCGATGCACAAGCTTTTGATTTTTAAAATTGAACCCTAGTATAGATAATAATACTATAGATAATAATACTATATATACAAAAATTATTATTGTATTCTACCTACTCGTATAAATTACTTCAAAACAATAATTGCAATCAACATTGCTTGGGTATATTAAAGCCGTGCTTGGCGATGACACCCTTAAAAATATTTAAAAAGGGCAAATGCGGGTACATACAGTTTTGCTTGGTAGTTTTGCGAGAACCATAATAAATGTCAAAATAAAAATAGAACTAATTTTATTAAATGTACATAATATTCTACAATTTTATTACAAAATGATTATTTACAAAATTTGTCATTCAGTGGCCTCAGCATACATCAATCATTCCTCTATATTTTATCATTCATACATTTTTACACCAACTAACTCCGTATCTGTTGTTTTCCAAATAAATAATATTTTTGATTTGGTTAACCTATATAATATATTATACCTATAGGTTTATTTATTATAGGTAAATTAAAATTGATCATAGGATTTGCTTTTAGGCAACCCTTGTAAGTGAATGATACTAAAAAAGTGCTTCTTATAACTTATAGGCAGGCAATGTTCCTTAATAAAAAATACTTTAAAATCATTTAACAATAAAATCTCACTTTATACAACTTTGGCAGTCTTTTGTAAATAGTATATAACCCACGACAACACTAAAATCACTATCGTACAGCTACTCCATTTATTGTTACTACATTCCCATTGGTCCTTCCAATGGGTTCCGGTTCGTAGGTACCGCTGTCTCTGCTAGTCTCTTCGTAGGGAGCGTCGTACATATTCTCGTCGTGAATGTTTTCGTAAACATTAGGAGGTAATTGCGTGTGAAGGTACCCATTTCTGTCGCTCAATGTGGCATAGCTCATTACTGCTGCATTACGGTCTTCCTTTCTTTCAGCGCCTTCTACGTTTTCTGTATTTTTTACTGCTACAGGTTTACGTCTAAAATTATATGTTTATAATACTTATTTAATTTACCTAATAAATAACTTACAATTTTAGGTATATCAGTCCTAAAAGTAATAACAAGAATAGAACCACACCGGCACCAATACCAATATGGGTACCCATGTTTGAGGGTTCCTGTGCTTCCCCTGTGGTCACTAAAACAAATTTTAAAATTAATATTGAGTGTACTAAAAATACCTTTAAACATACTTTCACATCTTGGTTCTTCTCCAGACCATTCGCCACTCTCCATACACTTTCTGAGATAAGGACCAATTCTTTCATAACTAGGTATGCAATGGTACTCTATGGCGCTGTTAAAGGTTGTGCCATTCATAACAATGACTCTACCGTTTTGAATAGTTCCTGGGTGCAGACAGTCCACAGCTACATAAAAAAACATTTAAAAAACATAAATAAAAAATAATTAATCTCTTAAAATTTACGGATTTGAAAATTGTTGGAAAAATATTGTTTCTTTTTCTTATTTTTCTTCCTTTCATACAATGACATTTGGTTTAGATTGAAAACTATTTGGCTACATTTATTATTAAAAGGATTTTAACAATAAATCAGGTATATTTTAAAAGCATCTAAGTTTTGACATCCCTTGATTTAGTTATTATTAACAAAATAAAGTTTAAGGTCCGTGAAAGGGTTTAATTGGTCACTTTTATTTTGGTTTATTGGCTTTTTTTTCTTAAATTTTAAATTATACCCTTGTAGACATTTATTTCTATAAAAAGTTTAAACAAGTAAAAATTAGAGTTAAATTTCAGAATAAGGCCTATTAAGTCGGAATAGGACTTATTAAGTCAGACTATTATCAAAATTTGGGAGTCTTCTAAAATAGTTCTTCTGACTTAATAAGACTTTTAGTAACTTACATTGATAATTGCGGGGCAACTTTGATAAAACATGTCTGAACTATTATTTTTTTGAACTACTGAGCTAGCAAAAATTTTTTGGCGTGCTTCAACCCCCCAGTTGTCACACGTTAACGAGAGTGCAAACATCGTGATGAGTTTTGCCGCGGTTCTCGTACTACAAGGTAATAAAGTTTACTTTTTGGTTTGTATATTTTATAAAGAACAGAAATTTCTAGTATACAGCATGATCAATAAAAGGGTATTTTTAAAGCTAATAATTAAAAAATTTAATTTTTTATTAATTATAATTGAACGGGGCTTCATTAGTTATAAGAGCAAACTTAAGGCATGATCAAAGTTGCCCAAATGAAGTAAAACTTTGATCGGGCCCTTCTTTTTTTTAATTTTTCTTAAAATTTAGTGAATGCCTAATAAAGTTTTAGATTAATTATATAACTGCATAATATTTCCCTTTTTTTGTTTTCAAATATCTCAACTAGTTAGTTAACTACAATCAAAAATTAAAATTGTATTGATCAAAGAAGCCCCAGTTGACGGTATGCAATAAAATTAAATTTTAGGAATTCATCAGAATGTTGTATTTGGTTATTGTAAAGGAAAACACGAAGAAAATTATTTATAAACATTGTTTCTATATTGTTATAAGGCTTATAACAACACATAGGCAATGTTTTCAATATAAGCCAAGTTTATTGCAATTTATCACAATAAAACAGTTGAGATAAGTTTGGTTTATTGGTTTTATTTATTTGGTAAAAGCGAGCCGCACAGATCTCGGGACTGACTCTGCTTTCTTCCATATACTGTCGTACAAGCCCAACTTTGTGGGCCTCAATGTCTAAAAAAATTCGCGTATTATCCCATGTCTTGCGGGGGTGCCGGCGGGAGGTGGGGAGCATGATGTTGTATCGGCAATGTGTGACGTATATGAAGCGCAAATTTCTGAGATTACTATTTCCCTATTATGCATGATGCAATGATTTAAGCGTTTAGAATTAAAGTTGGAAGGGGTGCGCGCCAAATTTAAAGGAAATATTTTAAAATTTGATGGTTATTCGATGTTTTGATCCTTTTAATGACTTGAAATTAGTTTAAAAACGTTTTATATTTAAATGAGTAATGTATTCAACATTTCAAATTATACTATAATTTCAACATTTCAAATTATATTATAATTTCAACATGTGAGGCCCGGCCTCAGTTGCTTTATACGACGAGCCGCCACTGGATAGAACTATTAAAATAAAAACTATGTATTATGATGAATGAAAATAAACCTGACTTATAACAAACACAGGACAAATGTTTATCTACTTATATTGCATAATATTGTGTTTTTTGGTAGGTAAGTATATAACAATTATAAATTCCCCGCATAACAACGAGAATAATGAACTCATTTTCACGTTGTTAGGCATCAGTGATTGGTCGATTTCAATATTCGCTGTGATTTAAACCATCAATCAGGATTTAAATTGGGAGAAGGCGACTATAATAATTATAATTTCAAAAATAAATAACATCTGACATCTTTCAGTTGGTTAACCTCACTTTCTACCAATTTTAAATATTAGGTAATATTTAAAATTGGTAGAAAGTGAGGTTAACCAACTGAAAGATGTCATGTATATATATATATGTATATATATATATTGTAGTAGATATATAATACTATAATTATAATTATACTTTTTTACAATATTAGGGTTTTTTATTGGGTTATTAGCCAATTTATTTAGATTTTAAATTTATTTGTGATCATTTATATGCCATTGTATAATAATCAATATAATTAATCTTGAATCATTCGGTCCATATATTTTACCAATTATTTTATCGACATAGGTATGCATACATAACAAAAGGAAAAATCAAGCGTAGTGTATTTTATTTGTTTTAAAATGTTGACCAGTCCTAGGTAGCACACTGGCGTCTGCTGACGTTTATATGATGTTGAAATGACGTCATATAAACGTCAGCAAACATCAGTGTGCTACCTAGGGTGTTAATTAAAATTAGTTACCCATACAAACTGGTGCCTGTCCACTCCAACTTCCCTTCTTTTGACAAACTCTGGTGGAATTTCCATTCATATTATGTCCCCTAGGACAATAATACTGTGCTACACCACCAACACTATGTGTGCTGGTTTTAACTGTCACTCCCTCCAAAGCATCAGGATCCCTACACTGAATTTCTCTGCAAGCTGGCGTATCCGAGCTCCAGGTACCGTTTTCCAAGCATAACCGTCTGGAAACTCCATCTAGCTCATAGTTTGGATCGCAAGCATACAAAGAAAGGGCCCCGTAATATGTAGCGTTGGATGGAAGGGTAACTTTTCCGTTTTGGATCTTTTCTGGATTACCACAATCAACATCTTTAAAAACAGATAATACAAATTAATATTTTACACATCCTTATTTAAACATTAACATTAACTCACAAACACATTTAGGTACATCTCCACTCCATTGACCCGATTCTTCGCAGGTACTTAAAGGTTCTCCAATTACTTTGTAACCTCGCTCACATCTGTATTTAACTAAAGCCCCAATTTTGTACGTTTGAGTTACTACATTCGATGCTTCAGCTCCGGTTCTTATTAAAGTTCTCCCGTACATTCTATCATTTCCGGTTACGGAGAGAATGCTGTGCTCTGCTAGAACTGGCTCTGGACATCTTATCTCTTCGCATTTTGGTAAAGTATCACTCCATTCCTGGTTTTCTTGGCATATCCTTTTTCTTATCCCATTAAGCCTGTAATTCTTTGTGCAACTGTAAGTAATCTCGCTGTCTAAATAGGTTGTACCATTGGTGTACTCCATATTACCATGAAGTAATGAAGGAACTTTACCGCAATCGATATCTAGAAAATACATATTAATTATTTGTTCTATAGTTATTTTTATGCACTAACATTCACATGTAGGCGTGGTTCCACTCCATGAACCATCACTGGTGCATGTATGACTACGTTCACCTCTTAAAATATGACCTTTTTCACAATGATATTCAATGGTTGAATGCACGTTAAAATCGTAACCCACTACATAGCTTCCTGAGGGCACATCCGGTTCTTCACAAACAATTACTAAAAAATATAATTACAAAATAATTTAAAACCTTCTTTTTAATAATACTTACATCCACATATTGGTGCATCTGCCGACCATTTACCTTCCCTGGTACATTTTTGATTAGCCACACCATCCAGCCAATAATCATCCCTACACGAATATATAACTTCGCTATTAACAGTAGTTGTGCCATTCTTAAGGTCATATTTTCCATTGTCGATGTTTGGTGGGGATCCACAATCAACATATTTACAAGTGGGAGCCTTTCCTGACCATTTACCACCCAGACCACAGGATAAAACTCCTTCTCCGAATAGCACATACTCAGACTGACAACTGTAGCTTGCTGTGTCACCTGCTCTGTGTCCAGAGATCGTGACAATTCCACCGTGAATTTTCGGCGGATCGGGACACCAATCGAACAAACAACTAGGGGTGGAGTTAGTCCACTTGCTATCGTCCCCGCAGGTTCTGATTTCATGGCCAATGAGGGTGTAGTTTTCGTGGCAGGTGTAGATTGCACTCGCCCCATGAGTGGTTCTTTTGTCTTTTAAGTTCACTGAACCGTGCTCCAAGGAAGAAAGCTCGCCGCAGTCGACGTCTATAACATTTTAAAGAATGGGATTAAGGACCATGAAGTGTAATGCTAATATTATACGAAGAATAATACAAGTGTACGATGTTAATTAAGCAGATAGAAAATAATAAACTTATACATTTTATGACTGCTACCTGCTACCTGCCACCTGAGCAAAGGATTTATATGGAATCTATCAATGGTAATGCCGGGTTTGATCCACCCGGAAAATTAAAAATGTGTTGTTGAATGGTCAAGATTTTTAATCACATTGTATTGGTGGATTTCATGAATTTTTTGCTTATTAAATGCTTATTTATATATATAGGTATTAGGGTGTTTCAAAAAAACCTTTTTTTTGTTTTTTTTCTCGGAACCACGCTCAAAAGTTTCGTATAGATATAAAAATGAGCCTGTGAAAAAATGAGCTCTTAATTTCAAAATTAAGATGTTCCGCATCGCACTTTTCGATTTTCCATAAGAATAACAGGAAAAATTATTTTTTTTTCTTTTTATTTTTGTAACTAAAGAACAATAGGTCGTACTTTAAAGTTCTTGACATATTTTTGTAGAGACTTGAACGCTCTACAAAAAAGGTTTCTTATGATTTTTTGATAAATTTGATCCTTCTAAAGAAATTTAAAGTCAAAGTTCGTTAGTTACAAAAATAAAAAGAAACAAAAATAATTTTTCCTATGTTATTCTTATGGAAAATCGAAAAGTGCGATGCGGAGCATCTTAATTTTGAAATTAAGAGCTCATTTTTTCACAGGCTCATTTTTATATCTATTCGAAACTTTTGAGCGTGGTTCCGAGAAAAAAAACAAAAAAAAGGTTTTTTTGAAACACCCTAATATATACAGGGTGTCCCAGAACTCGCGCAACAGAGAAAAAGGGAACGCGCCGAAAGTAACACGAAACACATATTTGAAAATTAAAATTGTCTAACGCAAAGGATAAGCGAGATAAGAATAAAAAACGATAGCCAATCCCAATAGATGGCCATAGGGAATTCTTTAAATTGCTAGGATACTTAGGTTGCATAAAAAATCTGTAAAATATTTGGTCGACTGGAATTTAATTCATTGTAAAACTGCTGTCAATCTTTACTCCTGTCATTAATATTATATTAGGTTATAAATTAAGTTATTATTGACAATGCTGTCAATCTTTACTTTTGTCATTAATATTGTAAAGGGTGTATCAATAAGAGCGCAAGATTTCAAAGTTTAATAAAACATGGTTTTAAGTATTAAAGCATTTAAATATTTATTGATTTATAAAGTACACATTTGGAAATTATGTATAAAATAACACATCTGGTAAATGGCCACCTCGGCTTAACTGGCACATGCGTATTCTTTTGGCAAAATTTGCAATAACATTATTGAATACATGTGGCGGTATTTCGTTGATAGAGCGTCTAATTTCTGCTTTTAAGGCTTCGATGGTGGCGGGCTTGTTGGCATAAACTTGTGACTTCAAATAACCCCACAGCCAAAAGTCCAAGGGTGTTAAATAGTGGTGAAAATGGGCCTCATCACTGAAAATGATTTTGTCCGCAAAATCGGCATTCACTTCTTGCTGCTCAAGGATCCAATTTGTGAACTCTCTTCGCTGTTTTTGCTGGAGTTGTTGAGTCAATTGGACTTTGTAGGCATGAAGATGCAAATCTTTAGTAAGAATTCGCTGAAAAGTGGCTTTTTTAATGTCCAATTCTTGTGCAAGATGGCGAATCGACGTCTCTGGACTCTCGGCCACACTCTCACGAACTGCTGCGATATTTTGTTCTGAACGACCTCTACGAGCTCGTGTCGTGTGTTTCACATCACTAACCGAAGCAGTGCTTTCGAATTTTTCGATTATTCTTTTCAAAGTAGATGAATTAGAAACATTATTTTAAAAAAATATTGGACGCCCTTTACGAATCGTGGAAATCAAACTTTCATCATTTTGATAATAGTGTTTAACAATCGGGACGGGTTTTTCTATCGTGTAATGCTCCATATTTACTAACTCCCATCTGTCTTCTATCAATCTGTTATGTCATTAATGATTTGACATCATAGTTGCCAAACTGAGGCGAAATTCAAATATTGCGCTCTTATTGATACACCCTTTATTAGGTAATAAATTAAGTTATTATAAATAATGTTTTCCTTGATGATTATACCGAAATGATAACTATTTATGGGGAGCGTGGGCGCAAAAAAGCTAAATAAAGTACAACTGGTTTGATATTTTACTTTAAAACATTGGCGTTCTGAAGTATCAGTCATAGATTAATAACCTCATTTTTTGAAAGCTTTTGACAACTTAGTAAATACAGTTGGCCAAAAGATTTTTAAATGTTTTTAAGACAACAATGTTCTATCGTCTCCTAGCAATTTTTAAAGCTCCTACGTTTAACCTAGGCGAGATCTCTCGGTATTGGCTGCCGCTTTTTTGCTCTCATTCGATTACACTATTACCTAGAAATTTTTTATTTTTAAATTTGGCATCTCCATTGCTATCGGCACGCCCCCTTTTTCTCTGTGGCGCGAGTTTTGGGACACCATGTATATTAGGGTGATGCAAAAATTTTTTTTTTTGAATTCTATGCGTGACCACTCGGGTTTTCAAAGAGTATCAAGAAAATAAAAATCTGTAAAAATTTGAGAGAAATCAATTAAAATTTAGAGGTCGCTCAACGCAATTGTTTAATTTAGAAAAATCACGCATCTCAAATGCATTGCTATAAACAAGTAGGCATATTTCATACAAATTTAAATGAAAATGGTTGAATTTTTTTTTGGTGGACTCTTAAGCCTAAATTATAGATTGCCTTCCTTCCTTTCTCCCGTAGTCGTGCCCGTACGATTTGTGCGTCTTGTAAAAAGTCAATTTATAGATTTCCGTGTAAAATTCCGTAACCATGCGCGATGACATCTAAAATGGTTGACATTTGTTTTTGTTTATATTCTGCGTTTTACCCATTGTGTGTAAATATGAAAGATAATCATTTATATATTAGTGCAGTGATCACAATTTTAATTGTCCAGGCAGCTTGTTGTATACTGCCCAACTATGGAGAAAGGCAGTAACTGCTAAACAAGAAATTTGTGGGAAATTAGCATAAACTACATTTTTATATAAAGCAGTAGGTATTTAACTGATTTATTTAACTTAAAAGATAGTTTACTGCATTTCTTTGTTGAATTACGATACAAAATGTCCATAGCTTTATCATAGCACAAGAAAACGCATTTGTAGTTACTGCCTTTTTCCATAGTAGGGCAGTACCTATAATGAAAAAAAAAAAACATCAAACAAGACGTTGAAAAATTCGCCCACTTTACCAACACCGGGAAACTACGGGGTTTTACAAAGCAACGTTTCTAAAAATAAAAGACATTGATCATAAACAATATCTAAATATCCTATTTAGAGACACAAATTATTTAATAAACTAAAGAATCATGTATTTTAAATATTTTGTAATTACGCCTGTCACCCTACAGCGCATGTCAATAACAAGCACTGTGATTGGTCATGTCAAAGCCCTTTACGATGAAAGATAAAACTTAAAAATTTCTACGGGAGGAAGGAATGCCGTCCTGACGGTACGGGAATCTATAACTGGCACTACGATTTAAATAAACATTTTTGACGTAATTGTCACCATTAACATTGCCCGTTATTAATTTTAATTAAACTTAACAATTATTGATACTTTAAAATATTAAAATAACTTCAAAATATGATTTTGTTAAGAAAATATTTTATTCTTTGATTTTTTTTATTACTATAATTGCAAAATATTATCACAAAGTATTAAAAATTCCTACACGGGAAATGTTAATGGTGACAATTACGTAATGTTCATCTTCTACGGGAGGAAGGAAGGAAGGAAGGAAGGCAATCTATAACTCAGGCTTTAATGATTATTCTAATAAATAATGTTGTCCCGATTTCAAAAAATTTTTCATAATATTTAAAAAATATATATTAATTAGCAAATATAGCTTAGTTAACAAATAATTCATTCAATTTTTTTTTTGTAAAAACATTGTTAATAGGTCTACAAGCAATTATTCATTCACAAAAACACTCGCCCCCATCGTTAAATATGAGAAAAAAAATAATATGTTAATTAACTACACTTCGCGTCAAATTTAACGCAACACTAAAAGTTTTTCACATTTTCAAAGTTGATTTTCTCGCGAACCGTCAAACCGAATTTAGTGATTTTTATAATAAATTGTAGGTTTATTCTTCGGTAATAATGCGTTTAAATTTTTTTTTAAATTAACATTTTGAGTATATACAGGGTGCAAGAGTGATAATAAGTTTTTTCCCTGAAATTTAAAACGCCCTGTGGATTGTACCAGCTATAACAGCATATGTATCTTATAATCAAACTATAGCCACATCTTCTCTTAACATTTTGTTTTTTGATTCACCGCGTTATCTTTATTTTTAAATGAAATATACAGTTAAATAAAAAGAACGATTGTAACAATAACAACAAAAATATTAACAAAATCAATAAAACCAACATTAAAGAATATCAATATCGCGTATTTCTGCCTCTACTTCTAATTATGGCTTCACATCGACGGCTCACACTCGAAACCAGATGTCTAATCTCGTCTTGATCAATGACATTTCATATTTCTCGTAGCATATTTGCTACGTCATCAAGGGAGGCAGGCAAGGGATCATGATTTCTTAGTCGTTTACCCATATTATCCCACAAATGCTCGATGGGGTTGAGATCCGGACTATTTGCAGGCCAGTCTAAAGTTTTAACACCCACCTCATGTAAGTACTCTTGCACTATATAGCATTATCCTGCATCAGTAAAAAATTATTACCGGGCGAAAGGGACAACACGCTCAAATAAAATGTCCTTGATATATCGTACACTATTCATGGTACCTTAATCTTTAAATGTATATTTCATTTAAAAATAAAGATAACCCGGTGAATAAAAATACAAAATGTTAAGAGAACATGGGGCTATAGTTTGATTATGAGACATATGCTGTTATAGCTGGTACAACCAACAGGGCGTTTCAAATTTCCGAAAAAAAACTTATTATTACACTTGCACCCTATATATACTCAAAGTGTTAATTTAAAAAAATATTTTAATAAACGCATTATTACCGAAGAATAAACCTACAATTTATTATAAAAATCACTAAATTCGGTTTGACGGTTATATGTATATACTCAAAACTTAAATTTAAAAGAATTTTTTAATAAAGGCATCATAACCAAAGAATAAACCTCAATTTTAAAACAAAAATTACCAAATTCGGTTTGACGGTTCGCGAGAAAATCAACTTTGAAAATGTGACAAACTTTTAGTGGTGCGTTAAATTTGACGCGAAGTGTAGTTAATTAAAATATTATTTTTTTTCTCCTATTTAACGATGTTTTTGTGAATGAATAATTGCTTGTAGACCTATTAACGATGTTATTACAGATTTTGAAAAAAAAAAATTTATGAATTATTTGTTAACTAAGCTATATTTGCTAATTAATATATATTTTTTAAATATAATGAAAATTTTTTTGAAATCGGGACATCATTATTTATAAGAATAATTATTAAGAGTCCACCAAAAAAAAATTCAACCATTTTCATTCAAATTTGTATGAAATATGCCTACTTGTTTATAGCAATGCATTTGAGATGCGTGATTTTTCTAAATTAAACAATTGCGTTGAGCGACCTCTAAATTTTAATTGATTTCTCTCAAATTTTTACAGATTTTTATTTTCTTGATACTCTTTGAAAACCCGAGTGGTCTCGCATAAAATTCAAAAAAAAAAAAATTTAATATATATATATATATATATATATTTACAAGTCTGCTTTTTCGTCCAGATTTTATAAATGACCTTAAAACTTACATTTACAGTCTGGTGCATGTCCAGACCAGAATCCTTCCTTTCCACAATGTCTTTTGTCGTCACCAAGTAACAAATGTCCTTCTGGGCATTTGTACTCAATGGTGGCTCCTAAATTATAATTATTTCCTACTATAGTCGTATTTAACTTTTTATCCGGACTTCCACAGGACGATGGAGCTACAATGAATAATGGCTATAATTAGTATGTATATTTAGAATTAAACTTCTTTTGTAATCCAATAATTTTAGTTGTTTTTCTAAATCTATAATTATATATGGTTAACTAAAGTAAAGTAAGAGTTGAATATTGCTTAATTCAATGCTTTACTTAAATCGATTACAGAATGGAAAGTAACGTAGAAAATAATTCCACCAGTGAACTTTTCCAATTTAAAAATTCTTCGCGAACTATTAGATCCCTGGGTGCACCACGCCCGATCACGTGTCGATTTTTCTCTGTAATTTATATATTACCTCATTAAACTTTCAAAATGAAATAAAAAGTTATGTACAAATTGCATGATATTTAGTTCGCTTGATTAAATACAAATTAAATCGAAATTTGGGATTTGACGAAGGTTGACCATAATCAAAACCAAAACAATTTGGAAAACTTAAAATAAATTCGTTAAACCGATAACTAACATCTTTTTAATAAATAAAGAAATAAATTGACTTCCTTTATTTCAGTATTAGTTATTGAACTTGTACAGTAATGTCTCTTTTATATGGTCTTTGGTGCCGAGGGCCCAAATTAGGTCAATGCGGTACACCAACGTGTGACTAACAAAAGACTCGTATTTTGCGTTCATGCCGAAGTCAAGGTTAATATGCTACACGGCCAAAAGTATAAAGAATAAGTATACAAGTTTTTATTAATTATTAATGTTTTAATGTTTTCTTTGTATATAAAGTTGCGGTATACTTTTTACAATAGCTAAATAGTTTTTTATTAAAAAAACATAATAATATTTGGTTTGAAATCTTTTTTATTTTTAAATCCTTGTACCAATACCAAAAGCCTATAATTTAATTTATTATTTTTTCTTCCCAAACAATTTTATAAATTTACATATAGTTTGTTGTTTCTTAAAAGGATGTTACTTAACTAAACATTTGAATTAATTAAATATCCCTCAACCGTAACTTTAAAGCAATACTTTTTATTATTATCCGTTTATCTAGTAGGTATATTTAAATACAAAAGTTTACGGTATTTTTTTCTCATGCTTACATTATTAACTTGAATTAAAAGTTATTAAGTAATTTTTAGCAAAACCTGTGTTAAACAGCATATAATTTAGTTTAATTTTGATGTCCTTAGGTTTCAACAGGGGCGTAGCTACCGCGGTATCAGCCTTATCAAAGATTGACTTTGACATGCGTAAGCAATATACAGTGTGTCCGTAAAGTCCCGGAACATGTGATTATTTTGAAAACGCTAATTTTTTTTAAAAAACGCTGAAACACGCCAACTTTGATATTTTTCTAGCAATATTTTAGCATATGTAGTTGTTCCAAATTCTGCCGCGTGGCGGCGCCACAATCAAAGTCAGTTTTTTTTAAATTGCAACCCTTTATTTTTGTTGCATTTTTGGATAGTTACCGTTGTCCTGATTACATTGATGTGCCACATCTGGGGGTTACATAAGAAAATTTTTGAGAAAATCAGGTTTTTGCTGCCGAATGAGATTTTGGTATTTTGTCAAACTTACACAATCTATGCGTTGCTTAATGTTTTTGGAAAGCCAATCAGAGCAGTTGCTCAAAGTGTCCACCGTAAACTATTTGGAAATGGAACAGCCTGTCTACAAACGAGCGTTGTACGTTTGCCAGTACCGCTGGAGTGATCATCTGGATCTCGGCTTGAATGCGGTGTCTTAGGTCGTCCAAATTTTAAGGCCTGTTTACATAGACGCGGTTTTTAGGAGGTCCCCATAAAAAGAAGTCTAAAGGGTTCAAATCGGGCGATCGCGCTGGCCACTCAATTTGACCCCTTTGACCTAACCAGCGATTGGGAAAGACCTGATTTAAATAATCCCTTACTAGCAATGCATAGTGCCCCGTAACAGCGAATAAGTTCGTCAAAACCAAAATCTTAATCAGCGGCAAAAACCTACTTTTCTCAAAAATTTTCTTATGTAACCCTCCACATGTAGCATATCAATGTACTCAGGACGACGGTAGCTATCCGAAAATGCAACAAAAATAAAGGGTTGCTATTTAAAAAAAACTTACTTTGATTGTGGCGCCGCCACGCGGCAGAATTTGGAACAACTACATATGCCAAAATATTGCTAGAAAAATACCAAAGTTGACGTGTTTCAGCGTTTTTTAAAAAAAAATACCGTTTTCAAAATAATCACATGTTCCGGGACTTTACGGACACACTTTATATTACTCACATAATATGAGGCGCTGTTTGTGTCAAAATTAAAAGTGCAAAATATACTTATTTTGCTTTATAGATAATTAATTATTTGCATTATTTACCAAATTATTATTTTATCAAATTATTTCTTTTTCAAATTAATTTTTATCAACTTATTTTTTTATGAAATTATTTTTTTATCAAATTATTTTTTTTTTAAATTTTTTTTATAAAATTATTTTTTTATCAAATTATTTTTTTAAGAAAATATTTTTTTATCAAATTATTTTTTATGAAATCATTTTTATCAACTTATCAAAATTTGATATAACCTAAATTTAATTTAGTTTACAATTCGTATCATATGAACATATATGAACATATTAATATGTCTATGGTATCATATATTTTAAAACCCCCACTTATAAACTGACTTTGCACATAAGGTAGATAATACGCCCAATCGACAAATTTCCCCTCAAAAAAGAAAACAATAGTGGTGTCGTCTAGACAAGAGTTGTGTTAGTCTAACTCTTGATTAAAAAAGCTTAATGAGGCCTTGTCTAGATTAACTAGTCTAGATTATTATTTAAGAGTCTAGATTATTATTTAAGAGTCTAGATTATTGTTCAAGAGTCTAGATATAAATTATGCGTCTGCGCAATGTAACTCCCACTCTTGTTTTAGAACCAGTCAAAACAAATCACTTCCGCCATTTTTTTGCACTAAATTAAGCAGTAAACTTATTATTATTTAGGTTAGTTTTTGTTGCTTTACTACTGGTTAATACTAAGAAGCATTTTAAAATATGGAAACAAAGCGTTTAAAATTTTACTGTACTTGCATTGCAGATAAAAAACATCGCAAGTACAACTGCCAAATGATAATAATTTTAACGAAGAAGAAGTGGAAGATACTTTTACGTGTGATTCGATAGATGAAGATAAAAGTTAACCTGTAAAATCGTCTGGTCCAGGCTTATAATTATAAGCCTGGACCAGACGATTTTACAGGTAGTGATGAAACAACCAACAGTACCACCACAGCAACAATCGATTTTAAGCCATCAACTTCACGTACTTCAACAACAATCTACTTCAAAGACAACTCAACATAAGAAAAAAACCCTTAATAAGGTTATTGGCAAAAATAGTTTTAAATATATCTAAACTGAGAAAAAAGTTTATTGCTCCCAAATAAAAAAAATATTTAAATATGGGACAAGGGTATTTCGACTATTTAGAGGTAATAAACAATATATTCACTATTAATAAAAGTATTAGCTACACAGTTTATTTGTCCCATTTTTTTCTCAGTGTAGAAAATAAGACCAAGATAAGCCCCAAATATATGTAGAAAATAAGCCCAAGATTTCAATAAAATATACATATAAATATATACATATACATGTATATTCTTTTTAATAAAAAAATAATAATTAAATGAAGTGTTTTTAATATTTTTTAAAAAATTAAATTTAATCAAGTCTTGAAAATAATCAAGAGTTTTGGCTTAAAGTCTTGTCTTGTCTTGATTATAATCAAGATTTTTGGCTAAGGTCTTGTCTTGTCTTGATACACTTAGACAAGATATGTTGACGGTCTTGTCTTGATATTCTAGACAAGACAAGACAAGAGTCTAGAATGTCTTAGTCTTGACGGCAACACTAGAAAAAAAGGTCCCATACAAAATAATTTCATACAAAAATAATTTCATAAAATAATAAGTTGATAAAAAATTATTTCATAAAAAATTATTTTTCATAAAAAAATAATTTGATAAAAAAATAATTTGATGTAGGTAAGAGTAATAATATGAAAATTATTACACGCTTGTAAAAGAGGTTTTTTTTCTCATTAGCAACACGACCTTTTATTGTTAATTATCAATACCTAATAAGATTTAATTGCAACTATATTATATATAGGAAACCGCAAACTTATTTTATTATATATACCAATAAAATAAATAAAACTATGTAATAGGTATAATGACTATAGTATACTTGATTTTATGGAGTAAAATTATTTTCGTTATATATGTAACAAATTAATTATTAGTTTTTATACCATACCAGTATCTATACCATTTATTTTTAATCAAATTAAAAAAATCCTTAAAAATCTTAATAAATAAAGTTTTATTACAATAATTATTTATTATATTAACTATCAATAATTATAATTATTGATTAATTCTAATAAACTGTTCATCCAATTTTATTTAATTATTTATGTACAGTCAGAGAAAATAGTAATGCATTTTGTTGTAAACCTTATTAATGGTATAACCAAACAATAAAATTTTAGAGGAGGTAAAAACCGCTCCTTTAAAGTCATCGTCAATGATAGTTATTTATGTCATTAGGCTTAGAAGTGAGTCTTTTTGTACTGAGCACAAAGATTAAAGGCCGACAAGGCGGTTGAGACATGCATTCGAGTTTGTTATTAATTTTTGTTTTCCCACGCTTTTCAAACAATTTTTAAGATTGCTACAGCGTTTAAAAAAAAGATTCAAAATGCTATGATGACCTTGAAGAGGATCGTGACGTCACGATGTTATAAAATATGTGTCAGGAATTAAAAATGAATACTAGTCGTATTATACGAATATTCTTTAAATAGTTTGAAAATCTTAGGGGTGCAAATTTTAAAATTTTAAAAATAATTTTATAAACGTTGTACTAAAATACGCTACTAAATTACATTGTTAATGGTTTTATAAGAATTAAAGAGATATTAACTGTCAAAGAATTTTCTGATTTTTTTTTGCATATTTAGACAGTTCTTATACATTTAGGGCATGTGCGCCGACAGGGATTGCAAGAGGGGTCAAATCACTATACAAAAGCTTATTTAAATATTTAGACATAGATACATACTTAAAATTTCTTGTATTTTTTTGCCCCCTCCTGGATTATTTTCTTCCGGGGCCCATAAATTACAGTTTGGGTCATTTTTTATATTTTGGGCTCTAGTTAAATGTTTTATACGGCCCTAAGAAAAATGGGTATTTTCTCCTTGTATTTGCTTAGTACCTACTAACTGCTTTATAATTTATTTAAGTTAACCATGTAAACAAAGCAACAAAAATAACGTTTGCTTTGAAAATCGCCATACAAATTTGTAAAACTTTGATATTATTAACTTTTTATTTTTGAAACCTTATTAGAAAATAAGAAGTTTCTATAGAAGATGTTTTTTAAATTGCCATCATTTTCTTTTGATAATACAAAAATAAGAGAAAGCTACTTTTATTTTCCATAAAAATATTAACAAAATCCCATGAAATAAAAAATAAAAAAAAGACAAGTGTGTATTTTGTTTAAAAAATTAATTCTGAAAAACTCACCTTCCTAATAAGATTTACAAACTATGTTTTAATGCTTATCAAAATATTTTATTTTTAAACTATAATTTGTAATTTAAAATTTATCAACATTGCTACACAGTTTGGAGAAAACAATAAGTTTAGCACCCTGTATCTCAATCACAAAGCCAGAGAGGCTATTTTTTATATTTATACCTATATGTATATATTAAAAATATTAATGTGCATCTGAATTATTTTTTTCTCATTAATAAATTACGTTTATCTCAGGAAAGCCCAGCCAGACCGGCCCGCCGCGGTTGTTACGCCACTGGTATATGAAATGATTGCTTATATTTGAATAATAATATATTTTTTCAAGAAATCCATGTTTTAAAAAATAGTTTATGCAAATTTTGCATTTAATGTGAAAGGTTGTTTGGGTAGGTATTGCAAATATTTTTAACGCTGTGGTTATAAAATCAGACGGCGTTAAATTTCAGTACCTACTTATTTCCTGAAATTTGTAATTTGAAATTGAAATTTGAAATTTCTTTAAGAATACAAAGGCAGTCTGCTATATTCTTTTTATTATAATATACTTGTTTAGATTTTTATAATTACTAATAATTATGACTTAGTAATAATTATTGCAAATCATTAATTCTTTAGTAAATTTATAAGATGATTTATAGATATATAATATCAAATAGATCTAAAGGCAATAGGCATTATTTGTAAGTAATGTTTTTCTAAAGTGCTACGGTACTTACTGTGCTGGCATATCCAGTGCAAATAGTCAAGTTTGCAGGTTACGTCATTCCACAGCCATCCACGACCTCCGTCAAGTACCACGCAGTTTTGTTCCCCGTTATAATTGTTGGGTTGGTCTTTACCCCACGATGGTCGTTGCACTAAATCACCTGTAAAAAAAAATTAATTAATTATAAAAAAATAAATGTTTATGAAAGTAATTTCTACTTCCGAATGCGGAATGCGACGGGCCGAATTAAAAAATTATTACCTAATGCTTTGTTTGTATTGTTTTATTTTTTGTATTGCGTTTTATTTTTTATTTGGTAAATTATAAAATTTTAAAAATCATGGGATATTTTGCCACAAAATTACCCTAATAAAATTGTTACTAAAGATATGTTCTATTTAATTATAATTATAATATCATACATATAGTTTAAAAGAAAAACATGTGTTAAAGTATAATACAGGGTGATCAAGTTTATCATGAGAATTTTACCAGTAGATACCCAGTTTATGGGAAATGTGTGGGACATGTGGGCCGTATTTACTATTTACTATTATTAAATTTTATAAATAAATATTACAAAAAATAGCCTTTCCAAATTTTCAAGTTAATGGTCTAAGCTTTAATTCTAAATTAAAATATACATGTTCAAGATATTCGATATTCCTTGTGTTATTTTACCAAGTTTAAAAAAAATAAAGTATTGGGTATCTCCATTTCTTTTCAAAGAAATAATAAAAATTTAAAATGATATACAATCTGTATGATTTAGATTTTTTAAATAAAATTTGAAATTTGTCGATAAACTATGGTAAATAATAATTTGCACCAATTAAATTTATATTATATTTATTGGAGGCGCCATGGGGCCGGTACGGCCGAGCAAAAAATTATTTTTTTTTCGCAAACTTCAATTTAAATTCTGCTTGCGGAACATATAAATTTGGTGTGGGTCCCATATCTAATAATTGAGATATCGGTATACCCAAAATCCACCAGCCGCCACTGGATGCAATTAAAATTAAATTTTGTTATTTTTATTTAGTTTTACTATTTTATTTTACATAATTTATTAAAAATCAACCCTATTTTATTGTTTACTTTTGACATTATCCTATAGAATAAATTATTTTTCTTTTCCAAAATATCAAAAAAACAATCTTTTTTCTATTAAATTTTAATAATTTATAGAATTATTTGTTTGGTGGTTAAACAAAAATTATCAATATTTAAATTTAATTTTGATCAAACATGGTGCATTCTTTGCCTGGTGTATAATGTACTATTCAACCCACTTTCACACTCACATTTAACAATTTTACTGCATATGCTTAACTTTTTTTTACATTAATACTTTGACATTAAAAAAACAACAATCTATAGTTTGCTTCCTACACTACCCTTGAGGTTATATTATTGATAGTGAAATCTATACTTCCTCATTTCACCCGAACAATTAAAAAAAACATTTTATATCTTACTAAAGCTAATTAATACCAAAAAGGATTACAGTCATTATCTTTATAATTTTGAAGACGAATCTAATTTAAATTTAAGTTCACTTCCAATTCTTTTAACAATTATGTGGCAACTATGGGAACATCGATAACATTTGAAGTATTACCAAAGAGATCTTTAAGTTAATTGCTAATTTGATGAAACAGTTTGTTCAATTGCTTGTTTACGTGATTGTTTTGATTTATCTAATTGGATTAACCTATTTTCGACATTTTAAAAATTGATGTAAACTGTATTATTAATTACAACAATTTTTGAAAAAATACTAAATATTTTGAAAGTGGATACAATATATATTTGGTTTTGCTTTTATAAAAGGGATTAGTTTTTAATTTATGTACAATTAAATTAATCTTGCATTATACAAGTAAATAAATATTGCATTTTGTTAAACAATTACCCCCTTATAATCAAATACATTAGAAACTTTAAATATTTAGCGTAAAATTATTTGTTAATTGCGTGTTTTATAAGAAATTATTTTGATGCATCCATATCATTATTTAAGCAGTGCTTAATAAGCACCCCAATTACAATTTAAAATATGAAACTTATTATTATTAAATATAAATTAATATTAAAATCTAAGCTTTCGCAAAATTATTTTAGCATTAAACATAGCATCTAAAAATTTTGCTACTTACCATTCACCCATTTCCATGTTTTTGATATTCCGGGCTCCTTCTGGGCTCCTATCCATACCAACTGGGTTTTTAACATGGGTTTTCTTCTTTCCAATTCGCCGTAAAGAAAAGATGTCGATCCCGGTGTCATCCCATGCACCAAATCTCCATTATGACCCTGACAATATGCTCGAGCATCAGCAAAGGAACTACCTCTATTAACTCCGAATTCGTAGCATGTTCTCGCAAATGCAGCAATCTGAGCATCTTCTGAAGCTGCTTTTGGAGCGCATCTATCCACGGAAAATTCTGAAATAAAAAATATTGTTAAACAATTTTAACTTGTGTATCCAAGTAATAATAATAAAATTTTCAGAATATTGGGTATAAGCTTAATTTACCCGAAATTTCTTTAACTTTGTTATTTTAAACAGGACACCTCATATATTTTTACATTTTAAAATGGCTATACCATATCCTATACCTAAAGTCAATATTTGAGGAGCATCCGTGCAAAACCGGCTATATCCACTTTAATAAAATGTTGGGAAAATGGCAAAAACTCTCGGTTTCCTGGCCTTTACAGATAAAAGAAAAAGCAAACTTGAGTTTTGTGGGCTTTGTGGTACTTGATTTATAAGACATACTTTCATTTTCAAAAACTTTATATTAAGGCCAAAATTTCAAAAAATGTTTTGGATATAGCCGGTTTTGCTCGAAAACCGAATAAAAAACGAATAAAATGTGAAAAAACCTTTATTTTTTAAAAATATTAACAAAATAAATTTAGTGCAAACATGAAAAAACAGAACAAATTTTGGTAGTAGTATCGACATATCCAAGCCACATATTATTTATTGGATATAGCTAGGTTTGCTATAAAAACGTGGATTTGGCCGGTTTTGCTCCAAAAGCTACCTTTTAAATGTGATTTTAACATGGATTTAGTCGGATTTAAACTGAATTATCTTGGTTGTCGATAGAAATGAACCCAAAGATGCGAAATCAAAAAAAAAAACTGAATAAAATGGATTTAGCCGGTTTTGCACGGATGCTCCTCATTTGTTGAGTTAATTTTTCAATCAAATATTTTAATTAATTTTAAACAATGATGGATTTGGTGGTAACCAAGGGTACATGTAGAATTTTTCAGGTTTTTTGATACAAAATAGTATTGAAAATATTGGAAATTGTTAAATGTCTCTGAAATTTTAACTATAGGAAACAGTTATTATAATAATAATATATAATTGTTTGAAGTTTGCCTAATTTCAAGTGGTTTTTCTCAAGGTATTTGTTGGAGAACATTTAAAAAATTAAATTATTTAAACAATGTTTTAATATTCCAAAAATTCCAAACCCCATGTCACCAAACATAATAACAAAAAAATTAGAGGCTATTTTCGATTAACGTGCATGTAACAAAATTTTAACGAAAAAATTAATATCTTAAAAACTATTGACTTTAGGTATACACAGAAAAAACGCTAGCATAGCATGAATGGGTGAGCCATTAAACCAATTGGATCTTGTAATCCGTATTCCTGATTCAGGAATCCTAAATAACAGTTCCTATATCACCAATAGGTAGTTAGCACTTGGTTTTCTGTTTTAAAATTAACAACAAAAGTTATCGCTCCTAAATCTATTGATATTCATATTGATATTTATTTGTTACGATGTTAGAATGTTATTGCATTATATACTAATTTGATGTATTTAATAACGTTATTATTGTATGTATACTATGTATACATTTAAGGCAATAAATTCTTTGACATTAAATGACATTAAACCAAAATAGGGAAATATTTTGCATAAATTTTATGCAAAATATTTCCCTATTTTGGTTTAATAGTAATTAATTGAGCAAATAACAATTTAGATTGCTTCAATTTTAATGCATTCAATGACAGCGCTGTTCTTGGTACTGTTAGATTTTTAAATGTGTAGTTTAAATCAAATTGTATATGCTATTAATATTTCAAATCCAAATAGTTTGCGTTTATTCAGAAACACCCAGTATAGCATTATATTAAATATAAAATAATGCAAAATATGCAAATGCAAATTGTATATGCTATTAATATTTCAAATCCATATAGTTTGCGTTTATTCAGAAACACCCAGTATAGCATTATATTAAATATAAAATAATGCAAAATAACTAATTAAAAGAAATAGATAACAACTGAATAAAAAATATAGATAAATCTAAATAGCCGATTACAAAATAAAAAAGTCTTTATTCTAATTTATTTATTGGGTATATACCACAGACCACCAAAACAAATGGACGGCGCATTGCCATTCAATAACAATGATTTGTTTGCGGTCAACAAACGGTCACAGTCTAAGCGTCAAATTGGAGATAGAATTTTATGTTTTCTTCCAGTGACGTCATCAAACGGTCACAGTCTAAGCGTTAAATTGGCGATAGAATTTTATGTTTTCTTCCAGTGACGTATTGGGATTAAAAAAATAAGTAGGTAGGTACTTACAAACGATATTTCCATGTATTGTTATTTTTAGTAAAAAATGTATTTAAACTCCATAATTAACTTAAACACGATAGAAATACACAAACGAAAACACAAAACAACAAGCTGTCAACCCACAGAACATAGAACCTTTTTCTATGCTGTCAAATATGACGAATTTACCAACGTTGTTAATATTTAATTTTAATAATTATTAAATGATTTACTTTCTTTAAATAGAGAAAAATATCTAAAGAAAATGATGAACAAATCCTTTTTACAATTTTTTTATTATTTAAACGAATTTCTGGTAATTATTAATGTTCATTATGTTATGATGAACGTCCAAAAAGGCGTGTAATCTATACTTCTGACAACGTTGGAAGCCGTGTTTCTTTCGACGGTGCACCGCGGTGTTTAGAATGTGAAACTATGCTTTACTCGCTTTTTAAACGTAAACAAATCCGTCCATTTGTTTTGGTGGTCTGTGGTATATACCCATAATATTTATAAATATTACTTCCCTTAGTTTGGAATTTAAATTGAAGCTTGCTTATCGAGTAAAAAATAAATTAACGTGATATACTCAAAATTATAAAACAACGTTGCTTCTTCAACTTTTAACCCTTAAAAAATGGTAAAATTTTAAATTAAATTGTTAAAATCTAAAAAAAATAATACGAGGATTTATTTCCAATGATAAGGTCTACATTTTATCTTAATTTTAAATCGATACTTTTTTTAATAAAAATGTTATTACAAAATATCGAAATTTATCTATTTTTACATAATAGAGTGACTTATGGCCGGTTTATCAATGTCCGGTTAAAGTTGCAGTTAGTTATCTGGCAGATAATCTCCATGGATACCATTGTTCTCACAACGATCGATATGAAATTTAACTGTCAGATAGGCTAACTGGAACTTAACCAGAGATTGATAAACCGGCCCTTAAGGCAGTATAGCGCTACTCGGTCATGGTACACTTATTAGTCACAAGAAACCCCCATATGTTATTTTGAAAAAACCCATTTTTAAATGGACTTGAAAGCAATCATGGATTTTATAATGGTATCTATATGGTAAGAAAGTACCCTATTTGCTTTAAAAAAATCTTAACTCACTATTTTGGGGTTATTATTGAGGGCATATTCCAAAAATTACTGCACCTAGTGACTCGCTTTGGCAGACTTTTTTTACAGTCGTGTTTTGCTGGGCTACAAAATATCTAACTCTGTTTATTTTTTAATAAGTTTTAAGTTTATTGGGCTATTTATTAGACAAAACAATATTTTACATTACATACAATCCCTAAACTTTCTTGGAGAGTAAGTAATTTTTAATTTAATCAAATCGCAGATTTACCAGGTTTAAGTAAAAATGTAATTGATTCATGGTATTTATAATGCTTCTAAATAATTTTGATTTAGATATAAAAACCCCTCTTCCGTTCCTATTGTTCTTTTCAAATTAATTATAGAAGAATACTTTTAAAAATCGCTTTTTGTTTTTAGTAATTTTTTTCTTCAAATCCGCAGTGTCTTATTTTTTTGTTAATTTATTGGTTTTATTCTTTTAACTTTGCCACCAATAGTCTATTGGTGGTTTAATGCTTTTAAAATTCATAGACCATAACAATTAAAAGTGTTTCTGCTGCTCATGGTTAATTCAGTTCGCGCATTATTTCGTTACGGTTTCGCACTTTTGGGCTTCGTTTGGCTTAGTTGTCGCTTTTCAATTGCAATTTCCGACTTTCGATTTCCGAACTACAACATTCTAATGACCGTTAACGCGTAGTAGAATGCAAATTCAATCTTCAATCAGATCGCGTTTATCGGGCTATGTTTTTTATTTAACATTCAATTGCCAAATCGATTAACCGAGTTAATTTGTACTTAATTTGATTAAAGGTCGATTCTCACATAGCGACGCGATGCTTCAAAATCGCGCCCTATTGTCGCTCCAGGAAGCGACAAAATTTTGTCGAGTCGCGTTGCTGGCGCGTCGCGTCGCTATGTGGGAATTGTCTCATTTAAATGCATGGAAATCTTTCATCAGCTACATTTTAAAGTGTCGCGTCGCGTAGCGTAGCGTCGCGTCGCTATGTGAGAATCGGCCTTAAGTGTGTAGGTACTAAAAAGTTACTGCACAAGAATCTATAGATTAACCAAGTCCATTTGGCTTTTAAAATTAACTGGCGAGGTGGCAAATTTGTGGGATCTCGTTTATAAAATCTTTTTTTTTTCAAGCGGCCATGATATACAACGTTATATGCATGTATAGAGATAGTTGAAGTACGTCTTTTTCATTAGCGGCAGACAAAAAACTCAAAAAAGCCTAGGGATAGAAGTAAATCCATAGGTGACTCAATAGACGTCAAATAATAAAATTAATTTAGCATTTCATACAAAGCAATCACGATGTATTAATTATATTAATTATAATCGCACGGAATATTTAGTGATTATTTATTAAATTTTAATTGAACGAAATAAATAACAACTATAGTTTATTAGTATAACATAATGATGATAGACGAGTCGCCAATGTCGGAACTCCAAACAAATGTCAGTACGTCAAAATTAATTCAAGCGCAGCATTTTGACAGAGCAGTGTTTATTTTTAGTTTAGGCTTTGTTATCTATGGTTTAGGATATTTATCGGCATTGTAAGTAAGGGTTATAAGTTTTTTTACTTTTTATCAATAATTTGTAATGCTTTTAGCCAAAATTTTATACCACATGAGTTATAAGTAAATAAAATAATTCTATTGCTTATCCTATTTATATTACGCCCTTGAAAAAAAAATTGAATATGTTATTTGGAGTAGAAGCTCTTTTTGTGCTTTGTACAGTTGCCTGCCTCAGCTACGCTTCGGCCGTCAATCTCTGTACTCACCACAAAAAGAGCCACTTCTACTCCTTATGACATAATCCACTATTAGTTAATTTTTTTTTATAAATTCTATAATAAAGGTAATATAATAAACTTTAATCTTAATATATACGATGTATATTTTTCATACCAAAATAAAAACAGTTTGCTTTTTATACGACAAGATAAAACTATATTCTTTTAAATAAAAAAAGGAACACTAATTAAAATAATATAATAAATTTAATTGTTTTTATGGTGAAAAATTTTGGTTGCTGCGAATCGCAGCCTGCGATTCTTTTTCTGGCTATATGTGAGATGTTTTGGTGCCAGTCCTCTGAATAGATCCTTTTGCCCATTTGTACGGGGTTTTCTATAGAAAGCTTAAGCTTTATTTGAATATTTTTTGTTTCTTCTTCACTAGTTTCTGATGCTATTTTGCCATTACTCCCATTTTCCACATCGTTACATACCTACGTCATCTGATGTACTTTACCATAGAAAACCTGTTTCCTTTAAATCGGCAAAAAAATAGTAAGCTAGATTGAAATTGTGTTTTCGATATATGGAAAATTATTTATTGATATATCGGAAGAAATATATCGATATATGAAATATATCAGGTTTTTCGGTGAATTCGTTAAATTGACATTTTAAGATCATTTGATTTAAGGCTTCGGTTTATTAGTCATTAAAAAATGTTGGAAATTTCAGGTTTAAATAAAAAAATTGAATAGGTACATTTATTTAACCAACCGAAATAATATATTATAAAAATATTAAAACAAAAAATATAATTATTATTAAATATTACATATTTGATATTAACAGAAAAGATTCAAGTTTTTCTATAAAAATGTTCAATCAACGCTATTAAAAGGCAAGCGCCTATAAAAAACGCATACCTAAATCACAAAAAATACGGCAAAATTAATATAATATATATATATATATATATATATATATATATATATATATATATAGCAATATATTTAAAAAATATATCGATATCTTTATCGAAATATCGAAAAATATATACCTATCGATATTTTTATAACGATATATTCTTAAATATTCCTAGATATAACCCTCTTAATATTTTAATTATTGTAAAAATTTAAAAATCCAAATGAAATGTTAACAAAAGAATTTGTCTACTTGCGTATCATAATAATAATTTTGGTACTACCAACTTATACAAAGAATGTTTAATTCAACAATTATACTCAACTCTCTAAAAATGAATTAGTCAAAAATGACTAATTTAATAGTTATTAGTGGCTGCTTTTTCACTTGTACCATGGTTAACCCTGGAATACCATGGTATCACAAAATTTAACAGCCAATCCTTATGTAAAATTGTCCCCTTAATACGAAAATGTCGTCAAAACTTAAAAAAATTAGAACAGTTTTTAAAATATAGTCAATTTTCCATTTAATATGGAATTGACTATATCTCAAAAAATGCTTCACTTATAATTTTTGACGGTATTTTGGGATGCAGGGGACAATTTTACATAAGAAATTTTGGGATACCATGGTATTCCATGGTACAAGTGAAAAAGCATTCATTTTTAGACAGAATATTTCGACAAATTTATAAATAACTCATCTTATAAAACGTTTTCTCCCACTCGTCCTTGTACGAGAAAATGACATACCTATTCGTTCATTCATATGCTATTAAATGAGTTTATTCTTGCATAAAGACCTGTGTGTTGAACTTTAAACAATAATGCATATACAAATTTCGCGTTTTAAATCTTTAAATGGTTCTCCTTTAAAATCGGGGTGTTACCCTACTCTAGCTCTGGGTACAGAATTATTATTTAATAATACCATCAAGTATAATTTAGGTCCTATAAGAGCCAAAGTATACTCTGGCTTTGAGGTACAGAATGGCAATAACAAGTACAATACAAAATATGAATACCTTTATATCAATATTAACTTATTTATAATTGGAAACTGATATGATAGAGAAACAAAAGGCTTCCTTAAATTTTAATGCAGGCCCTCATTTAATTTTAATGCAAGCCTTCATTTAATTATAAAAATATTTAAACTCAACGATAATTTTATCAAAAAATCTCACACCTTGTTTACCAAGGTCTAATTTAATTAAAAATCGATGTTAAGATTCTTTATTTAATAATAATTATATATTCCTATAGGAAATCTTACTTGTGATCAAAACATAGTTGACCAAGATTTATTTAGTAATAAATTTAATTAATAATAACTTAAATAATTCTTATCCAGCAATTATAATTATCAATTATTAGCAATGTCAACAATATTTTATTAGATAAATAATTTGCAGGTGTGTAATACCGATTAACAATAGGATTATTGGTTATTATAGGAAATACCTTAACTAGTTTTAAACTCAAGTTTATATGGAATGTAAAAATTAAGAAACATTTATAATTGCTTTATAATATAGAAGGTTAATATGTCTGCAAAAGTAATTTAAAGGCAAGTTCAAGGATTTCAGTTACACTGCACTAAATGTCTTAATTACATTTAAGTTCTCAATGGTAACAGTATAATAGATCATATATTATTGAATTTAAATTTTATACCTTTGTTGTTATCCATAAGTGTATTTCGAGATGTCAGTCTTTCGCAACATTTTCTGTTGGAAGTATATTTGTAACTTCTAGGTAAAATTATTTTTAGTTTAAGATAAAAGTTAAATAAGGTAAATAAAATTATTTATCAGGCTTACCGTCAGTAGTAAATACTTCAACTTCACAAAGAGATAGTGATCCCTCGACGCTAACTAACTGTAAGAAGACGTATTGTCCTACCAAAGATCTGGCACACGTAAAAGTCTTTGTTGATCCTTCATCTGTAAAAAAACAATTCAAGACTTAAAAAAAACCCTTTTCGGTTTTCGTTGTTTTCTCATATTTATTTTTTATACATACATATTGGCATATTATTTTACGCCAATATATCATTAACTATAGTCAACGATGCTTTCGGATTTCTAAAAGTGATATGTAATGACAAACGTTTGTTTCTAGGATATGTCTATACTAGTGGCGCAGGAACGGTTTTAAATTGGGGGGTGGCGCAACCGACTACCATCCTTATTGCTTAGCACCAAATGGATGAAAATAATAAAGGCCATTTTTGCATATTACCGTAAGAATAACAAGGGTAATATGCGATTTCTTGTCTTATTAGCAATAAAAGTCGTTATTACGTTTATAAAGCTTAAGCTGATCATTTTAGCACACGAAATAAACGATTTTAGCATTTCATCGTAATTAAGAATAACATAGACAGTACACGACTTGTCTTATTGGTAGATTTTTTTAAAGAATTTTTAGGTTACATTTTATATCAAGTAACCCCCCTCTCCCCCTTATCATTTGGGTGGGCATTGTCAACCGCCCCCCCGCTTCTACGCCCCTAAGTACATACTATAAACATTTCCTGAAAACAAACGTTTGTCGACACGATCGTGACATATCACTTTTAGAAATCCTATTACGAAGTAAGTATACTAGGTGGCTATCTTTTTTTCTTTCAATTTCTCTCTCAACTTTTCTAGAATATAATGTAAAACAACTTCGGGCCAATGCGGATTTCCAATATCGGTTATATAATGTCAAACAACTTCGGGCAAATGTTGGGTTTCAATACTGGATTGCTATAGAAAAAATCTGACGAAAGATATATTGGCCCAATATTATTACGAATATTGGGCCAATATATTTGTGCTACTGGGGATTTTTATGACTAAAATATAAAAAATTATCCAAATTAGAATCACGTAATTTTTTAATTTAAAAAAATTTTCTTTTAATTAACCAAACTACAAAAAAACACAACTTATTTCTAAAGCATTAATTAGTTGAAAACTGTACAAGTTTCAACAAGTTTTTTTATTCAGGTTTTTATTTTACTGCAGGGCACGGTAAAAATTGTACAATTAAACCCATGGTCTATGAATAGACCATTTAATTTATCCTTTTATTATTTTAATTTTTTTTTAAATATACGTATACGTATTTAATAAAACCCGAAACACACTTTTTTTCATAAAATAGAGGAAAATTTAAAATAAAAGCCCTTTTTGCGAAAAATGTTATGTTAACTAATTTAACGAAAATTCCAATTTATTGCGATTTTAATGTCATTAGTAACTAGAAATAACTAAAAAGAATCCCTTTTTATATCGCAGCGGGTGCAATGCATTACCAGATTGTACCAAGCTACATCTTTAATGCATCCCCAAACACCATACATAAATTGCTATTTAAAACTGTTAACTTAAATAATAGTAAATCAAAATTATATAATATAGATATCGGCTTCTCCTTTCCAAAACACAGTTTACAACATTTTTTCAGAACATTTTTTTTTATATTTTTGTATATATGTTAAGACGCAACGTCTACACAGTATTGCCTTGACACTCGAAGTGGATAGACGCGTCAAGTAGTTAAAGATTCCTCTCCTAGCAGCGTATACTAGAGAAACGTAATAAAGTTCCAAAAACGAACCTAAGTATTCGGAAATATCGGTAATCGGTAATAAATAAATAAATAAATAAATAAATAAACAATCAAGTGCGGAAAGTGTGATAAGTGCAAAAAAAAAGTGCAAGTGTGAAAAGTGCGGGAGATCCCCTGTTAAAGCCGTAAAAGAGTGCAACTGAATAAGTAATTAAGGCCAACCGGTCCAACTGGTCAGCAGGGATAGTCACAACCAAAGCCTGTCAATAACCTGCAGGGAGGTCCAGAAATAACGGACAGACCGTGAAAGACCTAGCATCAGGATTATAGCCTAATAATCAAGCTAAGTAATTTTTCTAACTGCATGTCTTATTAACAAAACCATTTTATTCCAAAAAATCTAAAGTAAAACGTATTATATACCGAAAAGTAAATTTCAAGCCCCAGCAAATAAACATTCCTATTGAGACAGACAACACTCAAATCATTACATAAACAAAACAGAAAAGGCAGATAAGACATTAGCCCCACCCCCCAATAAACACTCGACTAATACCATAAATAAACGCCAAACCATAAATAATAAATAAACACAAACCATAACAAACATGGAAATAGTAAACACGATTGATCATTCGGTGGGAATAATTAAAATTCCATCCGACGGAAATTGCTTAGTGGCCAGCTTGGCTCATCAACTAGATAATAGCCTGACTGGGTCAACAAGTACATACGCATTAAGACAATGACTAAATAACCACTTACGAACACACATTGAGACATACAGCCCATACTTACAGGATGCGATCGGACAAATTTAACGTCGCAATCGAAATACATCACGAACAGGGGCGTACACGGAGAGAGGAATTTTGCCGAAATGGCTATCCGGGGTATTGTTGGATGACGTATCGTGGGTTTGGTCAACTGTTTTATTGGGCTGAGGATCTGTATAGCTAATTTAGCCATACAGATCCGCAGTTTAGTGGGACGGTTGACTGATTTCGCGATGCGTCGTTTGACGTTATTTTGGCAAAATTTTTCTCTCCATGTACTGACAAGATATCGCCCAGAGTCCTCCTAGAAGGAAAAATAATCACCAAACGTGTCAGGGTGGCACAACTAAAATACTGGGCACATGCCGACCCGGAGACGGACACAGAAACTGACGAACCGGAAGTAAACCAACAAAGATAGGAGTAAGCAAATAACTAACATACCCACCCCCCATTCACGAATACCAATTGAATGGGGGTACTACTAAGGCCTAGGTTCAGGAGGATTCCGGATTGTACTTAGTTTTGGGTCAGTTCAATGTCCTCCAAAAACCCTTCCTAAACTGGACTTATGGCCCGACCCGGCTGACAAAAATCCCGGGAGCGGCCTTAACCTTTGACACTGTCATCCACGAACTCCTAGGGTGGATCTACCAGCCGGCGTAAAAACTTCGGATCCAACAAACACAGGTAATGCTGTGATTTGGCGGGATACGCAGGAGAACGGAAAGGGGGTAAAATAACACCGGGAGATCAGTGGATGATAATATATCTGGGGCCTGCCATACGTTCCCATACTCATACTCATACTCATATGTTAAGACGCAACGTCTAACCCGGCATATTTGTTAATAAAAAAACTCTAACTGTTAAATACCCTAAAGAGGCCAAATCAAAAACTAAAACACGTTTTTCTCACAATTTTGTTTTTTACACATACTGTGTTGGAATGGAGCAGCCGATGTTTTATTATACAAATCAACAAGGGCGTCGCCAGAGAGGGGCAGGGGGGCAGCTGCCCCCCCTAGAGGTTAACGCTCACAAGTCACCCTGCTAATTGAAACGATAAACTGAGTGTTGTGGAAATCCTTACGGAAACTGAAGATTTTTTCCTGAAATTAAGAAGGCTTTAAAGATCCTTGTTGCTTTACCTTGTACGACTGGTACAGTTGAAAGGTTCAGTAGCCTCAGGAGAATCAAAACCTGGTTGAGGAGCACCATGTTTGAAACTCGACTCAATGGCCTCGCAATGATAAGTGAACACAGGCAACACATTTTCAAAAACTGTGTGTAGTTATTTTGTTCGTTTTTTATTTTTTTTATGAAAACTTTTTTTTTAATTTTTCTCTTGTTCTTATATGCTGCCCCCCCTCTAGCTTACCGGCTGGCGACGCCCTTGCAAATCAATTAAATGTCATTTAATCCATAAATATAAATGGCATGGAATCGTATTGCCTAATGCTTAATACGTTGTTTAATTAATGCAAATTTATGGTAAATCACGATGTGGCATCACGATCAACAAGAACAAAATTCTTATATGCACTCTTTAATTGCATTTATATAAAGGAATAGTAAATGTATCTTAACTGTTTTATTTTTTAGTTCGTACCTATAATGAATTTGTTCTCATTGATTTTTATTTTTATCAGTCGAATACATGCATATCTGTTCCTCATAACCAAACTGTTTACTTTATTAAAATCACGTTTTTTGACTACGTTTTTCAGCTCTTGACAATAGTAAAAAGGATTAAGTCCTGCCTTACTTATAAACTATAGTTTTTAATACATCAATGGCTCTGGGGTGGAGCTATATATTTTCTTTATTTTATTGGTTTACTTGTATGTCAATATAAAAGGCGAGAACAACATTTATTGCCAATTATTGTTCAATTAATCACAATTCAAATGTAAATAAGTAAAATGTGCATTAGATATAACGTGATACCTATGTAGGTTTGTATCTTAGTAAGATAATCTTACATCCTTAACATTAATTACCTACCATCTTATATGTTATTTACAGATTTTCACTTTTACGAGAATATTAGGGAAATATATTTATAATTACAGGAGTTTAAAGACCATGTAAAATTTTACATCTCAAGGAAGAAACATAAAAACCCTAATAATGGCTTGAACTTTAAAAAACAATGCGTCATCAAACTAGTGAAATCTCATATTGTTTAATGTTTGGAAAATGGTATCTACTGCAAAATAATTAAAAATAATTAACAATTTACTTTCTATACTTAAAAACATATTTGAAAAAATTTTACATTCACAATTACATTCCATAGTAAAAATAATATAACATAAGTTTTAACAATTCCAAAGTAGATAAAATCTATGGCATCCTATTCATAAAGAAAATAAAGAAATGATTGTGTCGCCACATGTCAAAAAAGAGCAATATTTTTACTTTACACTATCATCTTAAAATAAATTACCAAATTCCACGATCCGAATTAGTTATGGCAGTGTTTACTAATACAATAGTCATTTTTACTTTTTAAATAGTTACTTTTTACTATTTTAATGGTTATATCTTATATGTTATAACTTATAAGTTATAACCAAAAAAATTACACTTTATAAAGTGTTACTACCGAAAGTACTTAATAATAAATATTATAATTAAAAGAAGTCATTTAAAATATTTACATAAATGCAAATGTCATCCGCTCGGGGGGCGCATTTAATTTTAAAAAAGTTTTTATTTTACAAATGTTTTGACTTATTTTAATTATTAGTCAACAATGTAGAAAAATAATAGAAAAATAGAAAGAAATCTTCTTATAAACATAGGTCGGCAAATGAACCCTAAGGGAGCTACAGCCTCTTAAAGGGGTGCCCCTAAAGATGGTTTTTATTATTATTTGCGAAACGGTTTAAGATAAATTAATGAAATTTGCATGCTTACTTTTTCTTTTTATGCTGAATTTAAAAGTAACAACAAAATTTAAGAACGGGTGAACACAGTGGTGAGCTTCGTGCGGACACGGAAGTAATAAAGTGACAGGGGACAGGTCAAGGAATCACCTATTTAAAGAAAAAACGAGTCTAACCAAGAGTGGAAGGGATTATTATCTGCATTTCTGAAGTATCAATGCATGACCATTAGGTATTACGCAAATCTGTAACAAAAACCTGGCAATAAATAATCATTATCGATAACAGCGTATGAGTGTAAAAAACCAAATCAAGTAAGAACGTCACAATATTATATTATTGTATTATATACATTATATAATATAAGCATACACTTACAGGCCAGCCCCATAAAATTAAGGCTTTTAAAAGATAATGAAAGTAAAATAAACAGTCTCTTAATAAACAAGACTAACCTAAACAAACCATATCTATTAAACTCAAGCAACATCGTTACACGCCTGCCATTAGGGCCATATTCCAAATTATAATAAGTTAAACAACAGGGCCGGCTTTATCCTAAGTATATTATTAATTACATATAATACAAACTTGGTACAAAATAAAATATTTGCTAAGATTTAAATGTTAATGAAATGGTATAATACATTAATTTAACAATAAACAAACTGCGAGACATTCTCGAGTATAAAAAAATAAATGGTAGAAGCAGTAAATTAAAAAAAAATACAATTTCTTAATTGTTAAATAAGAAAAGAATACGTAAACACAATTTCTACCACAACAAGAAAACAACGAATTGCCGTTTTCAATAAATAGCTATTCCACTTAATTAGTTAAATTAACAAATTACAATAAATTACCATCGATTGCTTAGATTAAAATAAACAAAAGTCTAAAAAGTAAACGAGCACGTAATAAGACAAAAATAAACAAAGAAGATACATAGTCGGTAGTCGGTGCTCGGCAGGAGGGGTTGAATATTCACGAGGGCACTTACGGGTCGCGGCCGTCAACACTTCGGTAGTGAAGACCGGATTCAGTATCTCACGGGGGGGGGGGCAAGCAATTTTAAAGCGGTTACCAGGAACCGGAAACCGATTCGGACAGAGACGTTCAGAAGGACACCAACAAGAACAGGTTCTAGCAGCTTACTAACACGTCTACCCCCATTCATGAATCCCAATTGAATGGGGTTATTACTAAAGCCCCGGTTGAGGAGGATTCCGGATTGTACTTAGTTTTGGGTCAGTTCAATGTCCTCCAAAAAACAACATTTACCCTCCTTGTCCCGCTCTCCACTAGCCTAAACTGGGCGTATGGCCCGACCCGGCGACAAAAATCCTGGAGTGGCCTTAACCATCGGCATTGTCATCCACGACCTCCTAAGGTAGATCTACCAGCCGGCGTAAAAATGCCGATCCAACAGACACAGGTTATGCTGTATAGTGTGGGATACGTAGGAGAACGGAAAGGTGGTAAAATAACCCTGGGAGATTAGTGTAAGGCGATATCGATGGGGCTTACCATACGTCCCCATACTCATACTCACTCAAAAATAACAACAAAATTTATGAATATAAAAATTTTGAGTTTTCTACGTAAAAAAGGTACTCTTGTTAAACATCGATAAAATGCACCATTTTCAAATAAACATAAAATAACAAATTTAAAAAAACTTTCTTTTTTAATTTAATAGATTTAACAAGGAATATTAATAAAAAAATATACATTATTATTAAGGGGCTGTAGGTCCCTTAGGAGCCATTTGCCGACCTATGTTCATATACAGTTTTCTTTCTATTTTTGGCCCTAAAAACCGCTTGTAAAGTATTGCACACTATTTTCGGGACATTTTAATATTTATTAGAAGCTTATAATAAAATTTATTTTATATTTAATAAAAGGTTTGATAGATCCGGCAGTATTTTTACAATCTCCTTTATTTTTCATCTATATAACTATACTTTTATTTAAAACAACAGGTTGGCATGGCATATGCCATTTACACTAAAGGAAACACTTCGCGTTATAAAATAAATCAATTATAAATATCATATTTTCTAGTGCTATTATGTGCCACCGGGCATTAGAAAATTGTTGATCCATTTGCAAAAAGGATAAAAGTGTTATTATTAAGCATATGGTATCAGATATTTGTCATTTAAAGTCGTTCATGCGCAATAAATGTGGTTTACCCCAGAAGATTTATGCATAATCTTAAAGTGTACCTACTAACCTGAAAATAATTGCATGTACTGAATTAGATTTTAATAAACACAAAATCATTAACAATAATTTAGTTGTCCTGAATTATTGTGTATGCATTAATTATATAACATTATTTAAAAATTTTTTTTATATTTGTTTTTAAAATATATTTTTGGTACTTTTCATTTTGATTGGCGAAAATTGGGTATTTTTTTAAAAATATTCCGATTAAAAAAATTTTTTTTTAGTTTGTAGTACCCGAAAAGCTCTATCTTTAAAAAAAATTGTTATATGTAATTTCCATGGCTTTCTATGATTAATACTCCAAAAAAAATTTTAAATTTAAAAACGGATATCGTTTCTGAATATGCTGAGAAGTAACTTTTTGTGCTAAGCTCAAAGTTTCTATTTTTTTTTCGCATTAGAAAAATTTATGAAAGCTCATTACCTATAGTTCCTGGAAACCATGCACACAGCGGATTCCTCTGCAAGTCAGTGCTGCTGTTTCCAACCCTGATTTCCAAATCTTGAAGGGGTTGGTGGCCACAGCAACCCCGGGTGGTGACCCTGACGACTTTTACTGAGTAGGGCCTCAGCAAGTCGACTTGCCACCATGGAGAAACTTCTTTCTGAGTTTCCGAGCATTTTTTGGCGTCGTGATCTGTGCTTTTCTGCCCGTCATTCGCATTCCAAGCGTTACCGTTTCTTACGGTAGTCGATTGGTTGGCGGGTTTGCGATATGCAATGTTTGTACCTGTAAAAAATATTAGATTAGTGTTTTTAATTAATTTTATATTAATAGTTTGGCTTTGAATGCGTATTGAAGAAAACATATTTTTTTGCTTTTGGCGAAATGGTTAAATAAATTTTTGTCTTAATTGGGATTTATTACAAAACCTTACAAATACTTACACACTGCAAAAAATCTGTGTGTAATTTTTTTTTTTGTGTAAAAATTTTGGTGTACATTTTGTGTAAAAATCGTATAAAGAGTTTTACCTAAATTGGGAATCAACATTAAAAGGTGTAACCACTTGTTAATTTACACGTTAATGTGTTATAAACTCGTATTTAATAAATATCTTGTTATCTTACATGAAGTTGTGTAAATTTTAACAAATATCGTGTAAAATTTGCCCAACCCTTAGTGCCGAAGCTAATCGCCATTGTGTTTGCTTGCTTTATGCGTGTCTTGCCTTCTGTGCGTGTAGATATATTGTGCTGGTGTTTTTCTTATAAAAGATTATTTTGTTATACCACGTAAATAAACACATACATATATGTAATATGAAATTTAAACCTCGCCTTCACAAAACAAAGTCGGTAAAGGCTATAGTAACATGAAATTTGATCTTCTTTAGGTAAGTAAATTTTCAACAATTAAAATGATCTCGTATCCTTTATTACTTAATATTGTACATGCGGCCTTTTAGCTATAGCGGCAGTATTTGTTTTTAACCCAGAACAGTTTTTAAATGTTCAATATTATAATTTGTTTTTTTAATGTTTTCAATAATTTGTTTTATATAAATATATTATAATATAATATTATGTCATATTAAAATTATCATATATTCTTTTAATAAAAATAGTTTTTAACGAGAAATTTTTATTTATCTACCCAATTTAGAGTTAAATTTAACACGGTAAAATATTAAATATTTAATACTTAAATTTGTGTGAAAATAACACAAACGATGTTTTAAAGTTTAATTATTCTTCGTGTAAATTATTACACGATATAAAAAACAAATCAACACACTGATGCTGTGTTAAAATTTTACACGATTTCGTGTGGACTTGGATAACACAGTTTGGTGCTGGCGCGTGTAAAGTTGTGTTAATTATTTTTTACAGAGCATAAGACCAATTATTTATTTTTCATAAAAAAGTAATAAGCAATGATTTGATATTAATTTGCGAGGTTCGTTGTCTTCCTCTTATTGGTATCTCTGAAATGAGTCGACTAGTTTCAAAAGCGGCCATCTTCATTTTTTTTTTAAATAAGATATTTACACCAATAAAATCGAATTGATGTTTCAAGTACAAAAATGTACTTAAAATGCCCATCTCCCTTTTGAAATTGATGTTTTTTTAATTAAAACTTAAATCTGGTTACTTATTTTGTTGAAAAAATATTTGCAGTTACCATATGAGCAAGTTTTTCAAAATATATTTATTTTTGCCCATTACTCTTAAGAATGGTTTTTTGACATTTACTTAAAATATTAGGAGATGGCCGCTTTTGAAATTAGACGATTGAAATATACCTATAAAAAATTGGTAATAATTGGTAATTTTTTAAAAACCCTTATTAAAATTTAAATGGTAGAGACATTAACAGATCAAAATTATCCAATTCGTGTCGAATTTGTTCAGGAAATATTGCAAAATTGTAAAAATTTCAATAACATCCTGTGTATTGATGAGGCATCAAACGAATGGATTGTTTTATGGGGTACCTTTAATTAAAGGTTTACGCCCAAATGCCAGCTAATTTAAACTAAGTAAAGCAAAGAAGAAATTTTCATACATGGTAGTTCATTTTAAAATTAAAAAAGTTGTGATTTACCTTACCAAATAAGTTATGATCTTCTAAAATCGCAAAATCGTTTTCGAACAGGGTGTATTTCCTTGATTCAAGCCGTTTCCACGAATAGAACATAGATAATTTGGTTTATGTAGATTTTCGTCAATTCTCAAAAAAATCATCTACTTCTTATAAAAAATATGAAATAAATTCGATGTAACACTAATAAAAATAGTTTGAAAAATATGTATTTTTTTAACTTGGTGCAAGGTGCAAGATTTATAATATCAGTATGTTAGAGGACAAATTAAACACTCACGCCCTTAGCAGGCTTACGTAACACTTGAACTCCCCCAAAAACAAAAATTACAATTTTATTTATTATACTTAGTAATTTCATTGTCCATATAGTTTTTTGTTTTTATAATGCAATAAATTAAATTAATTTAATTTAATTTTTTAAATACAATTTACATTAAGATGAAGATTAAGATAACAATGAAGGTCCTCAAATTATAATAATACTAAATTTAAAGTAAACAATCTGTAATAAAACAGATTTAACTAACAATGCTAGACAAAGAATATATTATTTTATTATCTTTTTAGCCATTATATTTCCCAATATTTTATTAAAATAATGTAAAAATAAATTGAGAAAAAAGAAAATAAATAGTTATTTATGTCATTAGGCCATAAAGTGCCATTGTGCCGAGCTTAAAGCAAAGCACAAAAAGACACTTCCTGGCCAACTGGAATCCAACATCATTCTTCAATAAACGCCATAAAGCCACATCTTGTCAATGTGTATTTAAGAGGTCACTTAGTGTCATGGAAAAATGTACGATAATGGGCGTTTTAAAGGTGGAAGTAGAAAAATAAAATTATGCCTTGAAGATAAAATATGTTATGCCATGCGGTTGGGAAGTGTATTTTTGTGCTTCACTCAATTGTAGGCCTCAGCTACGCACTTCTCAGCCTTAAGACATAAATTAATATTATCTTTAATTTTATTTGTTAAACGATACATAAAACCTACAATTATATTAATAATTATTAAAAGAAAAAAGTGAGGTTGGATAGATCTGACAAGTCGATTTTTTCATTGGTCCAAAGTAGTAAATAATGAATTTTTACGGCCTAGGCAATAAATAACCTAAGTCGATTAGTTTAAATCATTTTTAAGTGACTAGGCCATAATCAAACTTTAGTAACGAGTGTGGACAACAATAAAGTTTAAATCATAGACCGATTAAAGATAAAATAAATTGCATTTAAATTTATGTATCCTAATCTTTTTACTTAACTAAATCCTTTTAATAAAGAACACATTTTCTTGTTAATATAAAGATAAAATGAAAATAACATTTTAGTGGATTCTGGTCTACCCCAAAAATTATATATGGTGCATAAAAAACGTTTTGTTACAAGAAACAATTTAAAAAATTACATTTTGGAAAAATTTAAAAATAGTAAAATATTTTTCGACCCCTACTTTCCTGTGACGACATGAAATCACAAAATGTACCAAACCCAGCTCCCCTAGTTACATCAGAAATTCAAATTTTATTCAACTTTAAATTCGTTCAACTAATATGATGGTGTATACTAAACCGTTTAAGATCAAGATACACCTTTTCATCTTATCGTAGAAAGAAATGCTTTTAGTTTTAAGATTATATATTATAACTCATTTTGGGCAAATTTCGAGATACGCTTATTGGTTTTAATAATATGTGAACAGCCCCTTGTCTACTTTAAAAGTTTATTCCTGAAAAATTTTGCCGTTTTTAAGTAACAATTTTTTTATTTCATGTTAAATTAAAAGAAACTGGGAAGACAAATTAGAGGTAATGGAAAAAAAGAATATTCTCAACAGAAGAACTATACATAGAAGGAGAACTGACCAAAATAGGAAGGGAAATACAAAAAAACTAAGAGACATGGCAAAAGAAAAAATATATAAGGGAGACAAAGTCAAAGTTATGTACCAAAGACTTTAAATAAATGGTATAATCTGGAAATGGAATAAGAAAGAAAACACAATAAACCAAACAACTCTATTAAAAAAAACACAGAATCCTCCAAAAAACTATTAATAATAATAAAAAATCGGACTGTATTAAAAGTGACAAAATGGGCAAAAAACACGAAAGGATAAAACAAAAAAAAAAAGAAACAATAAAATACTAGAAAATTGGGACATTGAACATTAAAAGCATGCAAGGTAAGGAAAATGAATTAGAAGAAGAGTTTGGTATGGCTAGACACAAGAAATTGGAGGAGGAAATAGAGGAATGAAAGGCTTGGTCTGAAAGAATCCTAACAGTTGCAATAAACAAAAAGAAAAAAAAAACGTAATAAAAACAATCATTAATAATAATAATAATAATGATTCATTATAGTCTATGGGCCCAACGAGAATGATACAAAAGACATAAAAGACAAATTTTGGGAAAAATTGTCACTAGCTAGAGAAGAATCCAGGGGAGAATTGTACAGGGTGGTCCACGTAAGGTGACCCATATACTTATCTCAGAAACTACTGGAAACTACTAGTGTGTAGAATCTAAAAATGCAAAAAAATACAGGGTGTTCCATTGAAAATAAGAAAGTTGGTATCGTCCCACGGAAAACCGAACACCCTGTATTAATGAAAATATAATATTTTAAAAATATTTTTTTCTACGTGAATATTTCTTCCTTGCAAATTTTTTGTGACTCCAGTAGTTTCTGAGATAAGTATATGGGTCACCTTACGTGGACCACCCTGTACATAGCAGGAGATTTTAATAGCAGAGTAGGACAAAAAGATCAAACATACAATAATACAATGATAGGTGATTATGGAGAAAATACAAGAAACAAAAATGACAGGTGAATGCGAGACTTCTGTATATTACATAACCTAATAATAACAAACACATTTTTTGAACACAAAAACACACATAAAGATACAAGAGAAGTTAAAAGTAAGGACGAAAAGTCAATTATAGATTTTATTCTAATTGAGATGGATAACAAAAAAATGGTGCTGGATACATGAGAAGAGGACCCGAAATTGGTAGTGATTATACAGAAACCAAAGGAAGTAAAATAAAGAAAGCCGAAAATGAATCAATAAGGTATCAAAAATTAAGAAATAATGAAATAGCACTAAAATTTGAAGCCTTACTAAATAAAAACTAATATAATATAATAAATATAATGAAACCACAGAAAATATGAATATTGAGCAGATATGGACATACTTTAAAAACATAGTAATTAAAACAGCGAAAAAAGTATGTGGAGTGAGTAAACAGAACGGAGAAAAGAAAAGACCTGCGGGGTGGACGGACGAAATGAAAAAACAAATCAAATTAAAAAAATCAACATGGAAAAATTACTTAGTAAAAAAAACAACAGAGAGTTACGAGATATACAAAAAGCAAAGAAAAAAAGTGGAAGAAGTGGTATTAAAGAAGAAAGAAAAATCATGGATAGAATTTCGAGAAAAAATAGAAAAGAATTGTAAAGAGAATCACTTTTTTACAACGTACTAAAATCAATGAGAAATAAAAAAGAGGTACAAGTAGAATTAAAAATAAAAATGGACAAACCCTAACAGATGAAACACAGATTATGGATCAATGGAGAGAAAATTTTCAAGAACTGTTAGAAACAGGACAAAGAGTTGAAAATGAAAACAACGTGGAAAATAATCCAGGAATTAACATAGAAGTAAACCATATATAAAAATAACAATAAAAGAATTAAAAGAAATTATAAAAACACTAAAAAATGGAAAAACACCAGGACACGACAAAATAACCACAGAGATGTTTAAGAATTTGGGACAAAAAGGAACTGAAATACTATTAGATATATACAACAAAGTATGGAAAGAAGAAAAACTACCTAAAGACTGGGAAATGGAATTAATTTTACCCATACACAAAAAGGGTGACAAAAAAGATTGCAACAACTACACTAATAAGTACAGCTACGAAGTTATTTGAACAATGGATTGACAACTAGACCGATAATTGAAAATACATTGGGAATCGCAAAGTGGGTTTAGAAAGGGAAGAAATATACAAGATCACAAAATTACACTAAAACAATTAACACAAAAAATAATACAACAGGAAAAGAAAATATATTTGGGATTTATATGGAAAAAGCATTTGACAGGGTACCAAGAAAAACACTATGGAAAATATTAAAAGAAAGAGGAATAAACGAAAAGACTAGGTATACGAATGATTAAAGCAATATACAACAACAATAATAACGTAGTCATTAACAATAATAGAATATCGAAAGTTTTTAAAACTCAAGACGGATTAAGCAAGGGGTGGATTAAGTCCATTACTATTTATAATATTTATGGATAAGATAATACAAAAATGTCACCTAAAAATAAAAAAAGGTCTTGTAGGACATCAAAACTTAGAAAGGATTGAAATATCAGAGGGAGCGTTTGCAGACGACATAGTAATTATGGCAAAAAACCGAAATGATCTACAGACAAATATAAATATATGGAATGAAACCCTACAAGAATACGGCATGAAGTGATGATAATAGGAGAAGGACAAAAATAGAACAAGTTGAAAGTTTCCAATACTTAGGGGTAGAGTTAGAATATAATGGAGGGCAAGAAGCAGAAATAAATAAAAGAATAGGAAAAGCAATAAACGTATACCACGATATGAAAAACAAATTTATAAAGAAGAAAGAAATCTAAAAAAAAACTCAAAACAATATTTAGACCAATTTTAAGAAGAAGAATCCAAAATAGTTGCAATAGAAATGAAGTTTCTAAGATATATTAAAAGAGTCACAAGAATGGACAGAATTAGGAACACAGTTATAAGAGAAGAACTTGAAACTGAATACACGATAGAATTTATACAGAAAAGACAACTAAGCTAGTGGGGACATCTACAGCGATTAGATAACAAAAGACAAGTAAAAAAAGTATGGGAGGTAAAAATTGTTCAGAAAAAGAAAGGAAGACCTAGGAAAACCTGGAATAAAGTAATAACAGAGTCTGTTAAACAGACAGAGAGGAATGACAGTAGCAAAAACAGTACACACTATATATATATATATATATATATATATATTATATATATGTATATATATATATTAAAAAAGCATAATGTATCCTAATGTATTCAACGATTTTAAATATAAAAAATATATAAAATATAAGTAAATTATAAATTAGAAGCCTTAAGGCTAAATTTAGTTCATTTTTTTTAATATTTGGGTTTAAGTTTCAACATACTAAAAAATATTTAACTTCTATTAGGCTATACAAGATGTCACAAAAATGACATAACTTTTAGGAATAAAAAATTACAAAAACCTTATATACAGACTGTATAAACCTTATTACACACTTGCAGTTTGCGTCAAAAATCAAAACTTTTAATCATCAAATAACAAATAATTGTATGATGAAAATGCCTTTAAAAAATTGTTTTTTTATTTAACATACAAATTTTATGTTTTGTTAATTTTGGGTTGCTCGGTAGATCGGTATAGCATAGATCTGTGGGTATGACCAAAGCATGATTTTTTTAACAATGTATTATTTAGGGACTGTTTAAACATAATTCACCATTTCTATTGTTTAATTTATAATCTAATTTTTCTTATTTTTGTATGCGAACTATTTAATATGTGACCAATTAATTAAAAAAAGTATTATAAGGTATTGGATTAAACTAATTTAAAAGAAAATAGTTTGACTAAAATGTCAAGACATTTTTTTGTATTTAAGCAGGAAATATTTATATCAATAGTATTTGGTTAAAATTTTGTTTATTTTATAGTTTATTCTATAAATCAAATAGATTATGGAATAAACTAAACTTCTGACGCAATTGTTCAGTTTTCATATATTTATTTAATTAATATTTAGTGATTTTTATTTTTATAAATTTATTTTAAAAACTTCATAAGAATTAATTTAAAGTTTTCTTTTTTTACTTAATGTACGTGTATTAGGTATATGTATTCATTGCTAAATTGCTAATTATCTACATATGTATAAAAAATGTAGGTGCGAAAAAACAACATTGTCTTACGAAACCCGATAAGACATTAGTTTTTCATTCGCTCTTGCAATAAATTCTTTTCCTGCTTGTACTAGGTATTATTTTTTCCATGGAATCTAGGTTAAGAATGTTTTTCTCTCATTGTAAAATTGTTTATAGGGTAATTAACACTTTACATGAAGTAATAACAATCGAATAAAATAACGAAATTTATAAAACCAATATTTATTTTAACTTACCGCAAAAGGGAAGTTCTCCTGCCCATTGCCCTGATGGCGAGCAGGAAGTTTGGGTGTTACCAAATGTCTCGTAGCCTTCGTCACATGTGTATGTTGCTATGGTACCGGGTGTTAAAGCCTGTGAAGTTAAGGAAACTCGGGCGTTTACAGGTATCGCAGGGTGACCACACCTCAAATCTAAAACAAAGTAAAAAAGAATTTAGAACAAAGGAGTGACATTTAACAGGTAAATAACGTTCTGAAAATTTACAATTGGAATTGCTAAATGTTTCGCATACTTAATGGAATTTTTTATAAGAACATTATTATGTAGTAAAGTAACAAGGCAATAAAAACAGTACTAGACTGGTAGTACTAGTAAAATACAAAGTATTTATAAATTTAGTGAGGGTATTTTTATAATTCAGTTACCTATGTATGTATATATGTAATGCATGATATAAAAAGTTTCATATATGCATATCCTATAATAGAAGATGAATAAACCGGTTTTTAAATATAAAAGTTAAATATTTAACTTTTAGGTCCAATTTAAATAATACAATCAGTGGCGTAACTACAATGGTTGCCCGGCCAGGCTCGGTGGCCCGGTTAAAGCGTCAAAAAAGAGCTTAACAAATTTGTGGTAAGTTTAAAAACCATGCAGAAACGAACTATTGAGTGTAGTTTTATACGGTAGTATATAAAACTTTCCAAAAATATAAAGGTTGGTATATACAATTACAATTATTTTCTTAACTAAACTAATAACAGTTTTTGGTGGTGGTAGAATTGTTTTAGGTCCATTTTGCACTTTGTTTAAAATAATTATAATTGGTGTATTACTGGTATCTCTATACCTCCAGGAAATCATTTCTGTCGCGATTTATGATAAATTCTACAATTTTTTTATTTATATCTATACTATATAAAATATATATATATATATATTATATGAAAGGGAGCCCGGATCTAAGATTTGAAACCAGGGCCCCACGTTGTATTGTTACGCCAATGAATACAATTATAATATTATTTATATTATTTTTATAATATCTATAGATACCTATTATAAAAATAATAATAATTCTAAGGTAAAGCCAAATTTCAAATAAGTATATCATAAAAAAAATATGTACCTACCTATTTTGTAACAAAACCGTTAGGTAATACAGTTAATATTTCAACTCGCGTTGACAGTGAACTCGAGTTTACATGACACAGTTTTCAAGAACTTAAAAATATAATTACTTTACAAATTATAGCAATTATTTTGACAAGTTCTTAACTTAAAACGCCATAGTTAAATAAATAGACAAAGCTTTATGGGAGTTAAACAATTGTGCAAGCCGATGATCTTGAGACTACTATGAAAAAAATCCAAGCATAAGAATATTTATACCATGTTACTATTAGTTTAATTTTATTTCAATGTTTTTTTCATGGATAACTTGACAGAATAAATTTTTGTAAATAGTAATTATTGTGCATTTTTAATTTGGCTACAAAATCGTTCCTACCAAAATTTTCAATAAAATTTAGTATAGGGTCGTTTTTAGGGGTGGTGAATCCAGTGCCGTGCATAGATTTTTTTAAATCGCTAATATGAATTCTTAAAAATTTACTCTTAAAAACTGACATAATAAGCCATATATTTTGTTAAAATATATTCTTTTAAAATACAGTTTATAAGGATCTACACTTTAAAACAAATGCGGTTAAAATCGCACAATAAATAAAGATTCTAGTAGAATCATTCTACAGGGGTGATTCGCAAACAGAAGGGGTCACACTGTATGTATTTTCATAAGATATTCCTATTGATAGTTTACCAAATAGTGAGTATTTGCATTTTTAATGTTTTTATCACGAAATGACCGTTATAGTGGACATTTGGACCGGTTTTATGACTAAAACAGTGGCTGGACTAGATACGCGTACAATTTTAATTTAAGTGGTTATTAAAAGCCTTAACACGAGACGAGAATGATAACAGGAAATATGTACATTTAAGCTGACTCGCCTTTTCATAGTTTAATAAAAAACCTAATTCGGAATGCTGTCAGATTTTGTTTTAAATAATAGAATTTTCCAATAATAAAATTATTTACAATTAAACAGAAAACTTATGGTTTATAAAAGTAAGGTAATCCTTATGTTTATTGTTATGTTATTTTAATGATTTCTCATTATTGAGATTTTGTTTACAAAATTTTACTCATCATATTAAATAATAATTACCTATAGGTAAAAAAAATAGTACATTATAGACCAGGTAGTGCTTCCAATTTTTTAAAACCAAAATGCGGGAGTTTAAAACAATACAATTTTATTCAGACAAAATCATACATTTTGGTCGAACATAGGAGATTCCAACTTTTAATCAATACTAAAGGTTATGCATAACTATTAGACTATTTAAGGTTTGTTCTCACACTTTTAATAATATCGTTTCTATTAATGGCCAAAATGGCCTTTTCAAATTCCTGACCAGATTCAGTTAAGTTATGTTTAACCATTAGTTCCGATTCCAGCTGGGTGTCCAGGGAAAGTGAATTTCTCTTTTCTCAATGCAATAACCATTAAACTGAAAATTCTATCGCTAATCATGGAACCACCATATTTTTTTTTCTATGAAAATTTCAGGTTTGCTCTATCCTTTCGCTCTAGTACCGCATCGTGGCGGAAATAAGATTAACGTTAAACCCTTTTCTACAGTACGAAGTTTAAAAAGTTGTACCCTAGCATAGGTATTTGTAATACAAATAAATTTAAATACTTATGCTAGCACACTATATTGACAACTTAATAAAAAAAAATGTCTAATATAAATAAGACAGTTAATTAAATGAACTTGATAATTAGAATCTATGATCAGTAAATTAGCTTCTGCGTTATTACTAATTACGCAGAAGCTTGCCAAAAAACGGAAGTAGTCGGGAGCTTTAAGACGTCGTTTAAAAATCGGGAGGATTGCTGTTCAACCGGGAGACTCCCGCCTAAATCGGGAGGGGTGGCAGCCCTAAGACCAGGCGGAGTAAGCTTACCTTTATTATAACCGAGCATACATTTCACAGCCGAAGCGCCAGTCGCCGTGTTTTATGTACCATTTTTGTCTAGAATTTAATTAAAATATATTTTTAGGTTAGGTTCAACTGACATAATGTTATTTTAGCCTCATTTTTGTACTGAGGTTTATAATAATTTGACGTTTAAACTACACACATAAAAATATTTCAAAGTCAAACAAATTAATATATTTAAATGTGTATACTAAATGGAAAGGTACTATATTTAAAACAAATCTATAACTATTGATATAAATTTAGTAATGTATTTTAATTGAATCTTTGATTTATTTAAAAGATACTTTATATTTTAATTTACAAGTGTATCTTAAAGCTATTTATACTTTAGTTAAGACTATTGCCAATAATTATGTTGAACATTTGAAAACTTTCATTTCAAATAGAGCAATATTCATAAAGTAACGTATTCAATTACTTAAAAGTTTATGATATATTAAATTAGAATATATAATATGTTTATTTACTTTAACATCAAATATATGAAATTCTTCAACAAAATAATTAGCTTTACCTACTTGCTTTCAAATATTTCAAAGTCTTGTTTTAAGACGATCATTCTTTTGAATGGGGAATATACAAAATATTTATTACAAACAATTCATTTAATCGCGCATATAGGAAATAACGGTATATTTAAAATAAATAACATATATTCACAGCAAAAACTACGTTTTTTGTGTGTAGTATTAATCGTATTCAAGATTCAGTCCCGAGTAAAAACAATAATATAAAAACAAGTCTACGGCCATTTCAAGCGCGCGAAACGCACGAATTACAAAACTGTTTTTATAAAAAAAAAATGTAGATTATTTATTACATAATATTTTGGCATCAAAATTGTCAAAAATATTCTTCTTTTATTAGGTTATACATTAAATAAAAAAAAACGCAAGAAATATTTTATAAAAGTAGATATAATTTTAATAATTGAAAGGTGTGAACGGGACAAAAAAAAGATTTATCTTGTCCCGTTCGCGTATTGGCATTGTGTACTACGATACAGAGCCATCCCAGGTAGCACAACATGACGAAACCGTGACGATTTGTGTCCATTGTGTCCAATTGGACACAAATCGTCACGGTTTCGTCACGTTGTGCTACCTGGGATAGTGTTCTGAATCGCAGTAAGGATTGACAAAATTAAACGCCACTAAGTACAATACAATCCATACTACGATTCAGCACATTTCCCAGTTTGTGATGTTCTGAATCATAGTAGAGAATGGTGTAGGGTATGCGCGACCGCAGCAGGCCATACTTTACTACGATTCAGAAAATAGTATTCTAATTTGAATTGGATAGCTTACTTACAAATACGCTAGCTGCACGCCTTATCAATAAAAAACAAATTATTATTTTTAATTGGAATTTATTTATTAATAAATATTAATAAAAACAAACTAGGTACTCTCTGCAGTTTTAATAATAAATATACATTAACCCAAAGGAAAAAAATCATTTCAAACTTATTAACAAAAAGATCGCTTTACCCAAAAATTTTGCAAGTATCAGATATAAACGTACCACAACGGATTTAAATAATATTTGAAATAGTTAATAGGCTTTTTTCTACTTTTACATAAAACTTTTAATTTTGCAAAAACATGAACATAAAATATACATAAATAAGAAATTTTATTTTATTGTATTGTATTGTATTATATTATATTATATTTTGTATTGTGTTGTTTTCTTTAATAGACACCAAATAAAAATACATAGATTATACTTGATATAGGTTATATTTTTTATTTTTTAAATATATAAAATCCTTTGCTTTTTTCTCTTATATTTAAGAAAGAAAAATAGAAACATGAGGGCATTAACTACTAAAATATTTATAAAAATCTATTAAGGATTGTCGATGATAAAGCCAAATAAAATTTAAGGGTAAGTTAATTAACTTGAAAAATCGATAATAAAAAATAAATATTGTCAGTGAGATTTTTGGTTGGGTCTGTTTCACTACTATCAATTAATTTCTAACATAACCTATAACTCTGGCTTATTACTTTATGCGTGCGGCACATAGCCAATATTTTCTGAATCGCAGTAAACTATGGCCTGCTGCATTCGCGCAAACACTTCAACATTTTCTACTATGATTCA